TGATCTGGACACAACAAGATGAAGTGGTGGAAAGTCTGATCTGGACACAACAGATGATGAAGTGGACACAACAAGATGTGGAAAGTCTGATCTGGACACAACAAGATGAAGTGGTGGAAAGTCTGATCTGGACACAACAAGATGAAGTGGTGGAAAGTCTGATCTGGACACAACAAGATGAATCATGGAAAGTCTGATCTGGACACAACAAGATGAATCATGGAAAGTCTGATCTGGACACAACAAGATGAAGTGGTGGAAAGTCTGATCTGGACACAACAAGATGAAGTGGTGGAAAGTCTGATCTGGACACAACAAGATGAAGTGGTGGAAAGTCTGATCTGGACACAACAAGATGAATCATGGAAAGTCTGATCTGGACACAACAAGATGAATCATGGAAAGTCTGATCTGGACACAACAAGATGAATCATGGAAAGTCTGATCTGGACACAACAAGATGAATCATGGAAAGTCTGATCTGGACACAACAAGATGAATTGGTGGAAAGTCTGATCTGGACACAACAAGATGAATCATGGAAAGTCTGATCTGGACACAACAAGATGAATCATGGAAAGTCTGATCTGGACACAACAAGATGAGTCTGATCTGGACACAACAAGATGAATCATGGAAAGATCTGGACACAACAAGATGAATCATGGAAAGTCTGATCTGGACACAACAAGATGAATCATGGAAAGTCTGATCTGGACACAACAAGATGAAGTGGTGGAAAGTCTGATCTGGGAATGGAAAGTCTGATCTGGACACAACAAGATGAATCATGGAAAGTCTGATCTGGACACAACAAGATGAAGTGGTGGAAAGTCTGATCTGGACACAACAAGATGAAGTGGTGGAAAGTCTGATCTGGACACAACAAGATGAATCATGGAAAGTCTGATCTGGACACAACAAGATGAAGTGGTGGAAAGTCTGATCTGGACACAACAAGATGAATCATGGAATGGACACAACAAGATGAATGGAAAGTCTGATCTGGACACAACAAGATGAAGTGGTGGAAAGTCTGATCTGGACACAACAAGATGAAGTGGTAGAAAGCCTGATCTGGACACAACAAGATGAAGTGGTGGAAAGTCTGATCTGGACACAACAAGATGAAGTGGTGGAAAGTCTGATCTGGACACAACAAGATGAAGGAAGTCTGATCTGGACACAACAAGATGGAAAGTCTGATCTGGACACAACAAGATGAATCATGGAAAGTCTGATCTGGACACAACAAGATGAATCATGGAAAGTCTGATCTGGACACAACAAGATGAAGTGGTGGAAAGTCTGATCTGGACACAACAAGATGAAGTGGTGGAAAGTCTGATCTGGACACAACAAGATGAATCATGGAAAGTCTGATCTGGACACAACAAGATGAAGTGGAAAGTCTGATCTGGACACAACAAGATGAATCATGGAAAGTCTGATCTGGACACAACAAGATGAATCATGGAAAGTCTGATCTGGACACAACAAGATGAAGTGGTGGAAAGTCTGATCTGGACACAACAAGATGAAGTGGACACAACAAGATGTGGAAAGTCTGATCTGGACACAACAAGATGAATGGAAAGTCTGATCTGGACACAACAAGATGAAGTGGTGGAAAGTCATGGAAAGTCTGATCTGGACACAACAAGATGAATGGAAATCTGGACACAACAAGACTGATCTGGACACAACAAGATGAAGTGGTGGAAAGTCTGATCTGGACACAACAAGATGAAGTGGTGGAAAGTCTGATCTGGACACAACAAGATGAAGTGGTGGAAAGTCTGATCTGGACACAACAAGATGAAGTGGTGGAAAGTCTGATCTGGACACAACAAGATGAAGTGGTGGAAAGTCTGATCTGGACACAACAAGATGAAGTGGTGGAAAGTCTGATCTGGACACAACAAAGATGATCTGGACACAACAAGATGAAGTGGTGGAAAGTCTGATCTGGACACAACAAGATGAAGTGGTGGAAAGTCTGATCTGGACACAACAAGATGAAGATGGAAAGTCTGATCTGGACACAACAAGATGATGGAAAGTCTGATCTGGACACAACAAGATGAAGTGGTGGAAAGTCTGATCTGGACACAACAAGATGAAGTGGTGATCTGGACACAACAAGATGAAGTGGTGGAAAGCCTGATCTGGACACAACAAGATGAATCATGGAAAGTCTGATCTGGACACAACAAGATGAAGTGGTGGAAAGTCTGATCTGGACACAACAAGATGAATCATGGAAAGTCTGATCTGGACACAACAAGATGAATCATGGAAAGTCTGATCTGGACACAACAAGATGAATCATGGAAAGTCTGATCTGGACACAACAAGATGAATCATGAGTCTGATCTGGACACAACAAGATGAAGTGGTGGAAAGTCTGATCTGGACACAACAAGATGAAGTGGTGGAAAGTCTGATCTGGACACAACAAGATGAAGTGGTGGAAAGTCTGATCTGGACACAACAAGATGAAACACTGAAAGTCTGTTCTGGACACAACAAGATGAATCATGGAAAGTCTGATCTGGACACAACAAGATGAAGTGGACACAACAAGATGAAGTGGTGGAAAGTCTGATCTGGACACAACAAGATGAAGTGGTGGAAAGTCTGATCTGGACACAACAAGATGAAGTCATCTGACACAACAAGAAAGTCTGATCTGGACACAACAAGATGAAGTGGTGGAAAGTCTGATCTGGACACAACAAGATGAATCATGGAAAGCCTGATCTGGACACAACAAGATGAATCATGGAAAGTCTGATCTGGACACAACAAGATGAATCATGGAAAGTCTGATCTGGACACAACAAGATGAAGTGGTGGAAAGTCTGATCTGGACACAACAAGATGAAGTGGTGATCTGGACACAACAAGATGAAGTGGTGGAAAGTCTGATCTGGACACAACAAGATGAAGTGGTGGAAAGTCTGATCTGGACACAACAAGATGAATCATGGAAAGTCTGATCTGGACACAACAAGATGAATCATGGAAAGTCTGATCTGGACACAACAAGATGAATCATGGAAAGTCTGATCTGGACACAACAAGATGAATCATGGAAAGTCTGATCTGGACACAACAAGATGAAGTGGTGGAAAGTCTGGTGTAATGCTCCTGTGGATTTTGCTGGAGAAGACATTCAGAAAGAAAGGAATCCCTTATTCTTGAATATCATTAAACACCCTGGAAATACCTCCTAATGAAGGACCTTTAGTCTTGGGAATTACTCTCAATTTGGTTTGAGGACCAAGACCAATCATTGGATGTCATAGAAATTCGTTTTTTCTAGTTTTTCTATGGGTCTATATTTTACAAAGATCTTTGTACCTTCCATCAAGACACATTATAACAGAATCACTGTCTGGAAGTAGCACAGAAATAAATATTAGAATATATCCCTTTATGAATCAAGTGACTTGTCCTTTTTCAGATATAATTTTGATCACACTATAACTCCTGTATAAAACATATTACACAAACATATTTATTTCTAGCTGTGTGTTTTATTAGTTCATTATCATTACTAATAACAAATAATCTAAACAAACAACACTCTGATTGAAAATTTTATATGAATACATGTATACTTGTACTACTTTACAACTCAACATTACTCTTACAGACATTGCCACATGTACACTCTCATGTGTTCATCTTTATCTACACATGTATATACATCACCAGCCGTCAGCATCAATACTATTTCAAAATCAAGACAGGAAACTCAAAGTTGGAAGGAGTTATGTAATTGGTTCATTATAAGAGTAAACATGATGTATATTTGTTGACTTAAATTATGAAATGTATAACACAACAACAACGATATGTTTTATCGGTTTTCTAACTGCATCATTATACAGCATGCTCATGACACTGGGATACAGGCAGGCAATATGTGTGTCTATGTAGGGATGTATAGAGGGAGAAGAAACAAGGCCCAGTGGAAGCTTCTTGGTATTAGATTTTGTAATTGTTTTTTGAGCTGTGATGTCATCTCCATCAGTAATCTAATTGTATCTATCAGTGCCCATAATGTGGTTAGTGTGTACACTAACTGACTGTCTAAACCCATTTTGTCCACCACTGAGATTAAAATGTTTCATGCCTAGGGCTGAAAGCTGTATACAATATAGAGTGGTATTTCAGCTGCAAATAGCTTAAATATCCTTTTTTGATTAATAAATATTAAAAGTTAACAGAAATTATTTGTCACAAAAGTTAACATAAATAATATGAAAATTATAAAGCTTTCTACAACTGTTTATTTTGAAAAGATTAGTTACGTTCTTTCAGAGAGAAATGGTTTATAAACACAGTCAGGCTTGTTAACTTGAATTTCTTTGATACAGCATTACAAACAGACAAAGGAAGTTTCTTATCGTTCTGTATTTTACGTCCCTGGACTATGTAACGTGCATGACACCAATCTATTGATGATTGATCAAGCCACAAAAATTTAAACCTTACCAAAGATGAAATGTGGGAGAGAAAAATAAGTGTAACAGTTTTTATATTTTGTTTTCTGATTTTTCTATCAAATTCTCTAATATGAAGATGTAAACAAATTATGTCGTCATGAATTTTGTAATATTTTAGAAAGTCACAAAATCTATAAATCATCCAATGCAAAAAGTGCAAATGGATACATTTTAGAAGTACATTAGACTATCTAAAAATAGTACAAGCAAATTGTTGATAGGAAAAATATATTTCAGATTGAATAGCTAAATTACCATTAGGATCACTTACATTTGCATACCATACACTGAGAAGTAGACACAATTCCTGTACACAGACATGTGATATTTTTTCACAATACAATGGTTATGGTAAATGTTGCTGTAAACATACACATTGAACAGTAAACATGTAACATAATGCTACTCTACATATATACAAAATATTTCAGTTATAAATATATATACAAACAAAGTTGTAAATTTCTATAAAATCAGGGACTGTTTGATTTATTATAATCATACAACATAGAAAAAATATTCAGAATAACACATCTGAAAATGATCATATCTTTAGTAAACACTTCGATCTAAAGTAAAAAAATTATGCATTTGATATGTTTAAGTCAAACTTCGAAAAAAAAAATATTAAAACTTTTTTCACTTATTCCATAGCAGATTCACAATGAGACTGGAGGTAAACAAAATTAATATCAGTACAAAATCCCTGTTCATATCTGTCTATAATAAAGACACACAAACATTAACACAGCTGAAGCTTAACACTTTGAGATCCACACAGATTTGTTGCTGTCACCTGTAAAGAGCAGAGTGTTCTCATCACCATTAGGAATCTCAGCCTAGAGGTTCTGTCTCCCTCATCATCCAGTCGAGTGCTGTCTGTTTACCCTGTCGTCTAAGCTCACTACCCACTTCGTCCCGGACCTTGCTGTGATATGTGTTCAGCCATTCCACCTGTTGGGTACCGCCACCATGTACATATAAATACTGAGGGTAAGTACCTCGGTAGGTTATTTACAAAGGGAGGAATAATACATACATAAGTAAGCAACTAGTTTTATAAAACACGTCAAGATGAGTTAAGTTCAGTAAAACATCCATCTAACCACAATATTTCATTCAAGGGACCATTCAACAGATAGATAAACTGTTAAGAAGTCGTGGGAAAAGAATCCCTACTAACATATATAGTCGTGTTATGAGTGGGAAGGTTGAGATTTCTTACTAAACTCCTGTCACAAGTTTGCCTGAGAGAAATTTCAACCAGATGTAGGCAATAATAGATTATACTGTTTGGATACCACTAGTCTTTGGACATTGTAATCTCTAGGTATCCTCCTCAAACCTAGTCATTTTGTGACAAGGTCTCCTTGTAGTAACTGATGACTTCCTCACTGATCTACATACCTAATGCTTATTGCATGTCATCTATAGCAATTCAGATAAAGTGTCTTGCCTATGGACACAATCACATCAGCACAGTACAATCTTGTTCTCAGTTTCCTGAGAAACGCAAACTGCTATGGGTAGGTCGCATTGTATCATGTACCTGGGATCTTCACATGAGGTTATAACTACCTACACAGCTACTGCTGCATCTACCTATATAGTAACCCTATCCCACATTTCTCTGTTCAGAAATCGACCTTTCCTTTTATAACATACCTCTTGTTCACTCAGCAGGGAAGGACAGATCATCTTAGTCTGGATAGGTACCAAGGTCAAAGGTTCAAAGGTTAAGAATCCCTTTTCTCTGAAATTATACTGGAAAAAAAACAACATTAGAATATATCAGGAAAAGGCTGTCAAATATACTAATTCAAAATCATTAATAGTGGAAATGTTTTCAATGTGAATTAGTAATCCCTTCAACTTTAGTATTTTTTTTTTCAAATTTTCATTTTTGGCTAAAACTGTATATAAATGACCTATCTATTTAATGACACAGAACATATCGCCATCACTACAGTCCTAAGGAATGAGAAAAGTACAGCCCTTTATATGTGATTATTAACAGTGGTTATATAAATGTACTTTATGAAAAAAAAGGTTTTTGTTATATAAGCACAACAATGATAACACAGGACATTTCATAAAGTTAATCACAAAATTATGTTTCTCTTAATTAATTGATGATTGAAGTGTTAAACACTTAATACAAATAGATCACTAATACCTTTGTTTGTGCTTTTTTGACTGTAACTAAATTTTCAATTCTAACACCAAACTGTCCATCTTCATAGTAACCTGGCTCTGAAACAAAGGAGAAATAGTGAAGAATACAAATTAATCTACTCATCAGACAGATATAATCAGGATGACAATAACAGTGGGATGAAGGAAACTTGATTTTCTTATTGATAAGTAAGTAATGAAGAGGCCATGATGTCTTACATCTTTAAGAGGCTGTGGTGTCTATATCTTGGAGAGACTGTAGTGTCTTACATCTGTAAGAGGCTGTGGTGTCTATATCTTGGAGAGACTGTAGTGTCTTATATCTTGGAGAGATTGTGGTGTCATAACTTGCAAAGACTGTGTTGTCTTATGTCTTGGAGAGTCTGTGGTGTCTTATAACTTGAAGAGGCTGTGGTGTCTATATCTTGGAGAGACTGTAGTGTCTTACATCTGTAAGAGGCTGTGGTGTCTATATCTTGGAGAGACTGTAGTGTCTTATATCTTGGAGAGATTGTGGTGTCATAACTTGCAAAGACTGTGGTGTCTTATGTCTTGGAGAGTCTGTGGTGTCTTATAACTTGAAGAGGCTGTGGTGTCTATATCTTGGAGAGACTGTAGTGTCTTACATCTGTAAGAGGCTGTGGTGTCTATATCTTGGAGAGACTGTAGTGTCTTATATCTTGGAGAGATTGTGGTGTCATAACTTGCAAAGACTGTGGTGTCTTATGTCTTGGAGAGTCTGTGGTGTCTTATAACTTGAAGAGGCTGTGGTGTCTATATCTTGGAGAGACTGTAGTGTCTTACATCTGTAAGAGGCTGTGGTGTCTATATCTTGGAGAGACTGTAGTGTCTTATATCTTGGAGAGATTGTGGTGTCATAACTTTCAAAGACTGTGGTGTCTTATGTCTTGGAGAGTCTGTGGTGTCTTATAACTTGAAGAGGCTGTGGTGTCTATATCTTGGAGAGACTGTAGTGTCTTACATCTGTAAGAGGCTGTGGTGTCTATATCTTGGAGAGATTGTGGTGTCATAACTTTCAAAGACTGTGGTGTCTTATGTCTTGGAGAGTCTGTGGTGTCTTATAACTTGAAGAGGCTGTGGTGTCTATGATTTGGAGAGGCTGTGGTATTTTATGTCTTGAAGGAGTTTTGGTGCTTCAATTTCTCATGTGACATGCTTTCATGTGGAGTCAAGTCTTGTTTAAGATAAAAGTTATGGCCACAAAAAAGAAAATAAACAAAAGAACTTAATCCTTCTAGCATGCTTCTTTTTATTCAGTATGGAACATTCTGGAATGCTGAATGAAAGGACAAAATGTAGGTCTCACATCTTCAGAGAAAGGCAGCAAAACTATAAAATACATCAGACAGAAATACTGCTAAACAATTAGATAGGTACAATACTAAGTATCCTGTCACCTCTTTGACGTCTAACAATCGAGGCGACGATGACAATAATGATGTACAGAGCCACAGCCTCTCAACAGCTGAGCAAGCTAGAAAAAATGACTTAATTTTCTTGTGGATTCTTACCATCAGACAGGATCATTCCCTCCTCAAGAGCGACATCTGTAAGCGACACTCGGGAGCTGATACCACAAGGACCTGTAATTATAGACATATATTGTAAGCCCTAACAGAAATCATGTTTTCATTAATATCAACTGGTAGGACCTACCTCTCCTTAACAAAAGTAAATAGCTTATAGCTGATATACATTTAGATTTTCTGAGGTTAATTCATGTCTGATGTTCTGTTTGACAAGATTCAGCATTATTTTAAAGAATTGAATTCCACTCTCATAATACAAACAAAACCAGAAACTATGTCCAAATTGAAAATAACACAATCTGACAAAATGTGTATCAAATTAAAATGTTTTTTTCTGCAGAAATAAATACATGAAATTCAGTGATTGAAACTAGAGAATGGTGATAATGATTTAAAACTTTCACACCATAGAAGTAGATATACTTACCTTCATGAAACATTCAAGAATGTTCCATATGCCATGGCCAGTACTAACTTTTATACACATTCAGGAACACCTCCCACACCATGGCCTATACTTACATTTACATACATTCAGGAACACCTCCCACACCATGGCCTATATTTACCTTCACATACCGTCAGGAACACCTCCCACACCATGGCCTATACTTACCTTCACATATCTTCAGGAACACCTCCCACACCATGGCCTATACTTACCTTTATACACATTCAGGAACACCTCCCACACCATGGCCTTTACTTACCTTTATACACATTCAGGAACACCTCCCACACCATGGCCTATACTTACCTTTATACACATTCAGGAACACCTCCCACACCATGGCCAGTACTTACCTTTATACACATTCAGGAACACCTCCCACACCATGGCCAGTACTTACCTTTATACCTTCATGTACGTTTAGAAATGCTCCTACACCAGGCCCTGTGCTTACCTTCATGTACGTTCAGGAACGCCCCTACACCATGCCCTGTGCTTACCTTCATGTACGTTCAGGAACGCCCCTACACCATGCCCTGTGCTTACCTTCATGTACATTCAGGAACGCCCCTACACCATGCCCTGTACTTACCTTCATGTATGTTCAGGAACACCTCCACACCATGCCCTGTACTTACCTTCATGTATGTTCAGGAACACCTCCACACCATGCCCTGTACTTACCTTCATGTACGTTCAGGAACGCCCCTACACCATGCCCTGTACCATGCATATAATCTAAACCAGCTTCCCACAATGCGGTTCTTGCAAGTGTGTCCAGACTGTGTCCTGATAACAGAACCATTATTTATCAAAAAGTGTATTATAAATAGATTTTTATTAATTTCATTATTTTAAAATTTAATACTGTAATTTAATTCATTTTGTAAGATGTATAATACATTCAAATCTAGTTTCATACAAAATTGTGTTCTGTGGTGAATTGTACCAAGTTGATTTTATAATACAATTTTGCAGCAGCCTTACTCTGTAATAACCTCAAAAATAATATACTTAAAGCCAGAAAATTGTTATGGAAGAAAAACAGAGTTTACAGGAAAATGAGACTAACCTTTGACACCGTTTGGAAATACAACATTAGCTAAGTTTATATGTCCCTTCAATACTCTGGTGAACGATTCCTTGAATAAAAAGAAAAAGAGAAAATAAAACAGCAATGAATAAATTTCGGTCCTAATTGATAAGTAATTGATATATCAGGGCATAACTAGAGGAAACATGAACACCCTTTCCCTTGAAATAGGGGAGATAACTAAACTATCGGAAGTCATATACAGTAAACCTCGGATAAGTCGAAGTCGATGAGACCAAGTAAAATATTCGACTTATCCGATGGTTCGACTCAACCGTGTTTTTGTCTATCGCCTGTAATCAAGACATCGTATATTTAAACTGACCCTATTTTCGCCGATCATGTCTGATAGCAAGGTATTAATGAAAAGAACAAGACAACATCTCTATTTTATAATTACAATTATTTTTTATTAAAATACAAATAAATCGTAGGTTATTGACAGTTACTGTAATCATCATTGTCACAAACATGTGGATAATGCATACAAGATTGAACAAAAGACACACATTACACTGGGTACTTCATGAAAACAATACTTAAAAATATACATTTACACATATTGTACTCACATTTATAGTATTTGGAAATAAAACAAAAACTCACAGGCAAAAAGTAAACATGAGATGTTTTATTTCAATGGCTGTTTGATCGCATAGTTCTTGGTTAAATGAGATAATTACCTCTGCACCTGTATAAACAAAAGGATTAGGTGGATCGATACCGTGAAATTACATTGTGCATGTAGGCCTATTGACACCATTACGGCTGACCGATCACACTCGTTACTGACCAGGAAACTTTACGTGGCATCTGAATGTTCGACACAAACATGGAATTTTTGGTACGATTTAGAAGGGTCGGACCACAAAATATATTCGACACAACCACAGTATTCGATTCAACAGTGTTTGATTCATCTGTGTTTAATTTACTAAGATGAAGAGGAGAAAAAATCGGGACCGAACGAAACGTTCCGACTCATCCGATGTATTTGACTCATGCGTGTTCGACACAAGTGAGTTTTACTGTAGTAAAGTAGTAATCCTTACCTTTTGGAAATCTGAGGGTGTGCCAAAGTGTATAGTTCTTGTCACATCTGTAGTTCCATCCCTGATGAATAAATTAAGTTCTATACACTGTACCATGAGATAACATGTGATCAACAATTTGAATGAATTCTGATTTAAATAGATCAACTGTATACCGTACCTTTCATCTAATATATGTTGTGCAAAGTCTGGATTAGTAATGGTAAACAGTTTTAACACAATTACCGTAAATCATATATTTTCATGGGGATCAACTTTTGCATTTTTTCAAAAACAACTATTTCATGGACACTTGATTCCTTGAATAAAGATAGCTTATTATCATTAAACTTATCATGAAAATAAATGATTTCACAGTATACACATACATGTACAACAGGTAATAAAAACTTTAAAATATTTCTTTCTTGATAGTTCAAATGTCTAAAGTTATCAAAGCAGAATTTATTTTTCATTAAACCATGAGACAGACTATCAATACTTATGTTTGAGATCCCAACCTCAGCCATTATAATTAGGAAATGTTATAAGTGTAAGGGCCAATCAGTTGTTACTAAGCAACTATTGTCTGAACCATTACATACTCTACATGTGTATGTATTATCAGTAGTGATTTATGAACAAACAATAACCAACTGTATAGTATGTATCTATAGAATGATTTGATCAGAGGATAACTTACTTATACTGTGCCCCTGAATCACAGAGATACATTTCCTCTGTAGTCAGTGTTCTATCTGTGTCAGCTGCTGGTCTGTAACAAATACATATTACAGTTATCAAAAGGCCCATGGCTGCACTGTTTAAATGATCACGATGAGAAACATTGTGAATAAATGGAAAACTTGTCTCTGTCCACTTTACCGGTTACTGGTGTCTGGTGATGACATTTTACATTTAACGAGGTCACTCTGAACCCTCTCTCTGAACTGATCCACTAACCAGCACATGCTGTTAATGCTTACACATGAACGGCAAACAATCAGTTTAATTTGCTGTGTCATTTCCCATCAGCTAATGGAAAACCTGTCAGTCAAGTTTTAAACACAATAACATTGCAAATATTTCTTATGTAAGTCCATACATTTGACACAGGATAGAAAACACCTTTCAATACTTGTCACTTGATACTTTGACTTAAACAAAGCTTTGGTTTTATTCAAAATATCTTTGAAAATTCATTCAAGATTCAGGGCTAGATTTCAATGAACAAATACACAAATCAGAGTGTTTTGGGCTCATTCCTTTAATGACTTTCTCTTATATAATGACCCATTCTCAATGATAAAGGATATTTCTCTAGAGAACTATCAGGTGGAGAACTATATAACAGAGCTTACTGCTATAACATTATAACATTTGGAATCAGACTCTCAGGACTTATACTCTTGTACTATGACTTTATGCCTAACTAGCACCTATTTATTCAGTATGGTTAAATGTTGGGACCAAAATAATTTCTGGGTGAAGCCACAAAAAAGAAAGTTTCCAGGATTTAGTAAAAACTCACAGGGCCAGTATTATGGTAATACCCTAATATACCCATGACCTAAATATGATGGTGTTATTTACTGGTACTTGTAGTGTATGACAGGTCTGTGTTCCCCTTACTAGATATGGTAGTGTTACTTACTTGTAGTGTATGACAGCTCCATGTTCCCCTGTACTAGATATGATGGTGTTACTTACTTGTAGTGTATGACAGGTCTGTGTTCCCCTGTACTAGATATGGTAGTGTTACTTACTTGTAGTGTATGACAGGTCTGTGTTCCCCTTACTAGATATGGTAGTGTTACTTACTTGTAGTGTATGACAGCTCCATGTTCCCCTGTACTAGATATGATGGTGTTACTTACTTGTAGTGTATGACAGGTCTGTGTTCCCCTGTACTAGATATGGTAGTGTTACTTACTTGTAGTGTATGACAGGTCTGTGTTCCCCTTACTAGATATGGTAGTGTTACTTACTTGTAGTGTATGACAGCTCCATGTTCCCCTGTACTAGATATGATGGTGTTACTTACTTGTAGTGTATGACAGGTCTGTGTTCCCCTGTACTAGATATGGTAGTGTTACTTACTTGTAGTGTATGACAGGTCTGTGTTCCCCTTACTAGATATGGTAGTGTTACTTACTTGTAGTGTATGACAGCTCCATGTTCCCCTGTACTAGATATGATGGTGTTACTTACTTGTAGTGTATGACAGGTCTGTGTTCCCCTGTACTAGATATGATGGTGTTACTTGTAGTGTATGACAGCTCCATGTTCCCCTGTACTAGATATGGTAGTGTTACTTACTTGTAGTGTATGACAGCTCCATGTTCCCCTGTACTAGATATGGTAGTGTTACTGACTTGTAGTGTATGACAGCTCCATGTTCCCCTGTACTAGATATGGTATTGTTACTGACTTGTAGTGTATGACAGGTCTGTGTTCCCCTGTACTAGATATGGTAGTGTTATTTACTTGTAGTGTATGACAGGTCTGTGTTCCCCTGTACTAGATATGGTAGTGTTACTTACTTGTAGTGTATGACAGCTCCATGTTCCCCTGTACTAGATATGATGGTGTTACTTACTTGTAGTGTATGACAGGTCTGTGTTCCCCTGTACTAGATATGGTAGTGTTACTTACTTGTAGTGTATGACAGCTCCATGTTCCCCTGTACTAGATATGATGGTGTTACTTACTTGTAGTGTATGACAGCTCCATGTTCCCCTGTACTAGATATGGTAGTGTTACATACTTGTAGTGTATGACAGGTCTGTGTTCCCCTGTACTAGATATGATGGTGTTACTTGTAGTGTATGACAGCTCCATGTTCCCCTGTACTAGATATGGTAGTGTTACTTACTTGTAGTGTATGACAGCTCCATGTTCCCCTGTACTAGATATGGTAGTGTTAGTTACTTGTAGTGTATGACAGCTCCATGTTCCCCTGTACTAGATATGGTATTGTTACTGACTTGTAGTGTATGACAGGTCTGTGTTCCCCTGTACTAGATATGGTAGTGTTATTTACTTGTAGTGTATGACAGGTCTGTGTTCCCCTGTACTAGATATGGTAGTGTTACTTACTTGTAGTGTATGACAGCTCCATGTTCCCCTGTACTAGATATGATGGTGTTACTTACTTGTAGTGTACGACAGCTCCATGTTCCCCTGTACTAGATATGGTAGTGTTACATACTTGTAGTGTATGACAGGTCTGTGTTCCCCTGTACTAGATATGGTAGTGTTACTTACTTGTAGTGTATGACAGGTCTGTGTTCCCCTGTACTAGATATGATGGTGTTACTTACTTGTAGTGTATGACAGCTCCATGTTCCCCTGTACTAGATATGGTAGTGTTACATACTTGTAGTGTATGACAGGTCTGTGTTCCCCTGTACTAGATATGATAGTGTTACTTACTTGTAGTGTATGACAGCTCCATGTCCCCCTGTACTAGATATGGTAGTGTTACATACTTGTAGTGTATGACAGCTCCATGTTCCCCTGTACTAGATATGGTAGTTTACTTACTTGTAGTGTATGACAGCTCCGTGTTCCCCTGTACTAGATATGGTAGTGTTACTTACTTGTAGTGTATGACAGCTCCATGTTCCCCTGTACTAGATATGGTAGTGAAACTCAAACTGACATAGTCTTCCTGGCTCCTGTAACAAAGGTTTGTTTAGCGGTCAGTATATAAACATTAATTGGTATCAGTCGGTATGGACAGTTTCCCTCACAACAATGGTTACATGCATGTTGTTATATGGATTTTTATTTTCTACCTTTTAATTTCCTCCAGTTTGTCAGCAGCTGATACTTCAGTGATGTTGCCTTTTGGGATCTGTAAAAAAGAAACACAGATATAACCTAGAGTTCATTAGAACGAATATACAGCATACCGTAAATATCTACTCAGTCTATTAAAATATGTGTAGCATTCAATCTCCTTTCACAATTTTAGCTAAATTTTCTTCTGATATAATAGTAAAAATCTACCATAAACTTACTGATACATCACATATTGTGACCATTACCCCATGTTACAGGATAGAAATGAGCATCGCAGGATACATAACTACAACAGTGCTTCAAGAAATGGGTAGAAGTGAACACATTTAGAGTAAATACACACTTTGTTAGATGTTACCAAAATGTACTCACCTCTCGTTCTAACCAGGAGAAGAATTCACACAATGTTACAGCATCTTTTATCTAGGAAATAAGAACCAGTTACAATTAACATTCAGTAACCTGTTGGTATTTACTTTGTCTCAGTTTGTTTTCTACTATATAGCTAAACATGTCAATCTATTACAAACATAAATAATTTTCCTTCTAGATCAACAACATTCTATCCTTACTTCTACATTGATCTTTTTTCTACCGTAAACTTTCGGCCAGTTCTAATAAAGATAAATAAATATTGTTGAACCTGATATATTTATATGAAATTATGCTTGTGAAAATAAATTAGAATTTGAAGTATCAGGGTTGATGTTGCCCAAAATCATGATGAAGTGTCTAAAAGAGTAATGTAGATTTGGAGCCTCAATTTGTGTCAGCTGGTGGATACATGATGTCACGACAAGACGTGGAAGAAATCACACTTTTTCATCAATGCTAATTAAGTGACAAGTATGTGTATGACTTGGTGCTATCAATTGCTTACGATGGTCATTGACAGCCTGCTACCCACAGAGTTTAACGTTGATTTGAATAGTGACCTCATGAGTGATTATTGCAATACCAGTGCCTTTATCAATTGTTAAACATGCAGTCACATGATATGAACAATTCAAATCCTAAGTGAAACAAGACTAAAGAGGTTTAAAACTACCACCAGAAAAAAAATCAGTTTTTATTGAATAAAACATGTATTTGATGCTATTTGAACTGACCAGAGATTTACTGCACATGAATTGTGTTGTAAGATTTGCTTCTACAATCACACTGTATTTTTTACTCATGCAAGCCCAAGGGGCCAGAACTTTATACCTCTGTCTAAAAGAAAGTGAATGTGCTTACTGCAGGAGAATGATACAGTTGCTTTCAACTGGAACTTCTATAGATGTGGGTGGGCTTATTACAGGAAAATGATATAGTTGCGTTCTACTGGAACTTCTATAGATGCGGGTGGGCTTATTACAGGAAAATGATATAGTTGCGTTCTACTGGAACTTCTATAGATGTGGTTGGGCTTATTGCTAGATATATACAGTACACCAAACACTTTGGCAAGCATATTTAACTATGAGGAAATCTTATGCAATATTTTTACAGAAACATTTCATAAATATTTCTTTTCTCATAATCCAGCTCTAATTTCTCAGGGAGACTACTCACATGTGCTCTCTTCATTCCCTTGAGCTCCACAGGATTTTTCACAGCTTTCATCTGAGCAATAGGTGAGGGCAAATTTACCCTAAGGGCCTGTGTAAAAAAAGACAGGTTATATACACTAAAGCAAAAATAAAACAAATACTTCGACAATCACTGTGATAGAGGAAATTCAATAGTACTTTTACAGTTCAGGATATGAAAATATGCCACACTGTCCCTTAATAAATGTGGCTTTAATAATACATGTAATAAGAAAATATTCAAAATAATTACATGAGCCTTTAGATAAGTGACATATTAAGTTATCTAATGACTTTATAAATTCTATATTACACCAACAAGTGTGTAAGATTTTATTTATCATGTAACCCATAATTCTGAAAATGAAGTGAAAACACAGACTGACTTTGATATAGATGTTTTTTATCACTGAGGCAATCAAGTGACTTCATCAAGACTTATTTATGATGTCCCAATAGCATTGTTACACATGTACCTTAGCATATTTATGACAACAAGGTACGACAAGTGATAAATATAATTTCTATGTAAAAGAGGTATTGAAATTAATTTCTCTTCATTTTTGTGTTAGTTCTGGCAATCTTATTGTGAAAGATCATCTTACCTTTGGAATTGAGCTGCACAGAGCATAACTGGATTTTGAGCTTATCTGTTTGGAAATCAAATTTTTAGATTTCAATTTCAAAACTTTTATTGACATATACAAGGGGATTAAACATCAGCCAAAGTCTATTTAATTCCTTTTCCTCACATCAGAGTGGTACAAGACAAATATATTCAGATACAACATAGTCATTACATGGCAATAAAAAGATGCTCAAGGGGCCTGCATCACTAACCTGACTATTCAGTTATTCAGTCATTTGCCAAATAATTTAAAATATGACCAGTAATTTCTTATGAATCAAGGCATTCCCACAAAGAAGGATTTTAGAGGATTTCCTCTATCTCAACTATTCGACCCCGTCCCAGAGACTGAGACCTACCATTAATGATAAATTTATACCCCTTCACCCATGTATGATTCTGACAAAATTAGGAAAGAATCCTGTTATTTCTACAGAAGACAGATTTTAAAGAATTTGCCCTATTTCACCTCTTGGGTCCTGCCCCTCCCACCCAAGGGTGCAGAGACCCATTGTTTATACAAATTGTTTCTCCTTTATCCCAGAATGTATTAGACCAAATTGGTACAACATTCAGATATTCCTTCAGGAGGAGTAGGATTCTGAATAACTTCCAAAATTTCCCCGGTTGGGTACCATTCCTTAGGCCCCTTGGACTGAGAACCAATATTTAAACAAGTCATGCCATGGCATAAGGTCACCAGTCCTTAAGACCAGGTGAGACCCACCATTTATACAAAATTTGTTCCCATTCTCCAAAGAAGAGGTGAGCTAATAGATGAAAATAAACCATAACACAAATTTTAATGTCATATTACATGAAATCAATGTGTAATATTCAAGTTATTTACCATTTGAATGGAATGGAATAGATTATACACATTTTACACTAACAAGTTATGAATTTACATTCAATATTTATCCATACTGCTCTTAGAAAATTCTAAACTTGGAAATCAAATATATAATAATCATTTATAAATAATACTGATACATTTTTTGTACTTATTCTTTATGGTCCTTCAGCATTTTCTTAGTATTAAATTTGTATACCCAAGTGTTTTGACCAAATTTATCTAGGACAAAGAAATGAAAACAGGTTCACTTAAAACTTCTTAGTTTCTACACATCAATTTGTCACTCACCCATATTTTTCCCTCCACTCTCTCCGGTAGACCAGACACAAATTTTCCAATGTCTTTATAATCATGAATGGTCACCCTGAGGTCACTCACACCACTCGATCCATTCAGCTGCAGATGTTGTTTCACAGACCCATCCAGCTTCTCCTCACTGATGAACAGACTGAAAAAAGAATTGTGGACTAAAAAGTAATGATGATATAACAGAAGTATCAGGTCTTATAATCAAACTTGTGCAATCAAAGTTTCCAGGTGTGCAGCATAACAAATGATTGTGACAATGTTCTGTTTTCAATGACTGCATTTTCTATTAAATTCAAGATGGAAATCGAGCTCATGACTAGTCAGGTGTAGTATGACACCTGATAATTGTTTTAGGCTGTGGCCTCCTTGACTTATTGCCAGATAAATATGAAGAAAAAAACAAAATTAGATTTGAAAATTGAGCCATGGGCCACAACTCTGTATGTAGACCTGACCAAAAACTAGGAATGATTTTCTAAAGTTCTGTCAATATGGATTAATAAAGAAAATTTACTATAACAATCTGGATTATATAAACATCATGTATCATGTACCTACTTGACACTTTCTTGTGTGAGGACGGCATAGGAAAAGAATACTGGATTGTACTCAATATCTGATCCTCTGAGGTTAAACAGATCTAAGATAGAGAAAAGTATTTGTAGTTATGCAGATTGATAACCTACGAAAGTTTTACTCTGTATGTCTACAGATCAACTCTTGACCTCCTGATAGAACAGCAAACTCTATTTATACATAACCAAGGAAACAGCAAGGACATGGTGGGATGGCCAAATGTTTATTTCAATTCATTTGAAAATTTGAAGTTGTTGAATATTTTGTTGACAAGTAAAGGTTCGGTCTACAAATAAATGGTCCAATAGACAGCATGAATGTGAAACATTACCGATGATGTCACAACCTACAAAAGTTAACATTTTCTCCAATGTTCCCTACTTCTCCCCTCCACATTAATATGTATTGGAATTAAAACTCCAAGTCAGAAAACAGATACTGATATTGTTTGATGGTGGACTCACAACCAGTCATGTAAATTATCACATTTAATACAAAAATCACTCAAATGTCCATCAGACTGACACTTACAGGCTACTTCATCAAGTGCTGTTACGATTAAGGCTTCACACCTCTCCTGACTCATCTTCCCTCTAATGGCTATTACTTTGTCTTCCCATTTCCTTCCTGGAACATCAGATATTGTAGAGTTAACATGATTGGATCTCCAACAGAAAATTAAGTTCAAGACTTGCATTTGTGGAATAATTAAACAAAGGTGAAACTTTCCAAATGAGAGTACTACTGTGTAATATAATAAGAGAAGTCCATAGTAAAGTGAACCATATGTATTTCGGACCCTCGTTCATTATTCATGCTTCACAATATACATTTTATAGTACACCACAGGAAAACAAAACCTAACTATTCCTGTCTACCAACTGACCTGGGTGTTTGACTTTTTACTACTAGCTGACCTTCATTATTGTTCTGGACTGACTGTATAACTGACCTTGAGCTTAACCTTCATTATTTTCCAGGACTGACCTGTATAACTGACCTTGAGCTGATATTCTTTATTTTGTCCTGGACTGACCTGTATAACTGACCCTGAGCTTAACCTCCATTATTGTCCTGGACTGATCTGTATAACTGACTTTGACTATTAACTAACCTGTATAACTTTCCTGAAGGATCAAAAGTGGGTTTGTAGGTGGATCAGGTTGATCATCCCATACTAAATCTACCAGGTTCTGGTTGATGGGCACCATACCACGTCCACTGTTCTTCAGGTGTTTACACATGGGCTTCCAGGCATCTGTTAAACACACTGACTTGTCACTAACAAACTAATGATGGTGATGTATCTAATGGAAAACAACTAACAGAACAACAAAATAGAATTCACACATATCAACTTAAAATTTTAGAGATTTAAAAAGTCAGATGATGAAATTTGCTTCAAAATGATAAGCATTGCAGTAAATTTCAAACAAGTATTCATAGGGTGACATAACACATTTCAAAATATAGCTCTACACCTTAGACAACAAGATAATTAATATACCAACGTAACACATCAGGCAAAGATATTAACACTTACCCATAGACATGAGGTAGGGATCAACTCCAACCTTGCCTCCCAATGGTAGCTCCTGTAAAAGATACATTAAAAAAGGATAGACATATTTTTTCATCCTTTTAATTTTAATTTTGGTGTAGATGATGATTAAATAACACTATATGTAATAACTCATCCATTCTCTAAGGCTTCAAAATTTGAATCTGCAACAAACAGATTTTCGATATTTATCTTGTTATAAGATGAAGATGGCAGACTTAATCATAACAAAATAAGTTAGAGATACATACCTTGGCTAGCCACTCGGCTTGTGTAGGTGTGGAAGTCAAACCTGCCAAGTTCAGAAGGACATTAAACTCTCATTTATAAATAGGCATAATTATTCTGACACCATGACTGTCTCAGAATATCTTACAATTATATGTAAATTCCTAATAAATTCAATTTCACAAATTTACACTTACACTTGTTTATACATCTACAGCATAAAGTATGCCTGTATAAACACCGAAAAAATTCTTATGTGTGTATCAAACCATAGAAAAAAAGACTGACATATAATTTGATTAATATGCTGGCTGACTAAAACACTCACCCATCTTCATCAATGTCCAGTTGGAGTCCATTTGTCTTTCAGCTTGTAAAAAATAACGGCCATCTGTCCACATTGCTGCCTTGGTCTCTGTGACAACAGCAGTACCTGGCAGTAAACAAGAAACTTCGAACTTCAAACCATCACATTTAAATGAAGAGTCATCCAAATTAACTATATCTACCGACATGAGTTTGGACATCAGTTGCCCTATTCAAAACAATACATTTTTGCATGGATTTAATTTCACTATTTCTGAAGATCACATTTTATCAATTATCAATGCCTACAAGACAGGTACTAAACCCTAGGCACTTAACTCACTAATGATTTTTTTATTAGTGAGCTAAGTGCTCATGACTTAACCATTATCAAGATATTAAAAGATATTCATAAGATCTTTTCATATATTAGATGTTAAAAGCCACATTTATCAATTCTATACACTTACCTGAAGATCCTGAAAAGCCAGAAACGTACATTCTTCTGCAGTCACATGGAGCAATGTATTCACTCTATAGCATAATAATCACAAACACATCAGTTAACACAAACACTCTCTAAATCCAGTCAGATATAAAGTTTGCCACGTTTTGCTAACCCAAAGAAGTTAATAGTTGTTTGGTAGTCAAGAAATAGAAAATTTCAACATGCAGTGGTGTATTTGTATTGCAGCATTGAAATCAGTAGGAAGATTTTGGAAACTGAAATGTATAATGATTAAATTTTAAGAATTATAGTTTTAAATCTCATTTAATGCCTTATTTAAATTAGTGAAGAAAATGTCAAAGAGTATATATACAATTGGGACCATAATTTTAGCCCTTTACAATGACCGTGTGTATCTCTCATTACTATCACAACAATACCTGATGTGCATCCCCAGATGGAATGATGTAGGCTTGAACAGGCTCAGGAAGATTTTTCATTGCACTTCGGAGTCGTGCCAAAATGGCTGTTGTATTCTTAGCTGCCATGACAAACAGTAGGGTGTTAGACTGACCCAATAGACTTGAGGCTTTACACTGGAAAAAACAAAACAAAAAAGACAGATCAGTATCAGTTTTATTCTCAAATTTTGATTACGAATATTGCCTCTTTAGAATGCGTGCCTCATGTTAATCCCAGTTCAGTTTCAGTATAATTACAAATAAATGCTTTGTCATTGTTTTATCCATTTTGCTCATAAGTACACTTAACAAATGGCCAGTGTAAAACATATTTACTTGGGTATACAGAGTACATAATGGTTTTAAAATCACAGCATGTTGTAAATCTAATGTATTCTAACATAGGTGGTATTAATGTACTAACAACGAAAGTTGAAGCTGTTTGAAACGTTGTGATAGATTTGCGAGTCTAAGGGCCCCCTCATCCCTGTTCAGAACTAGCTGCGGCAGCATACTATATAGTATATCCAGATGGGCTTTCACATTACACTTGTCATTTGCCTGATGAAGTTGACAGTGTATTTATTGAAACATCACAAATAACTTTCTGACTGGTTGTGATGTAAGAACATCTCTTCACTTCACATAACCATTTAAGAAAAGGTTCTGAGCCATATCTCTGGCCTTGAGTTGAAACTTATAAAATCTAACCTTAGACTTATTGTAGGGGAAAATACAGTACCATTTCCCTACTCCTTGAGATCGTATTTATTTCAAACATAATCAGGTCCAGTATATATACTTCTCTTTACTGATGGATTTTTTCCCCTTAATCACAGACTTGTTTAAAAGAAGCAGGATTGTGTGGCTTGAACATTTAGTGTTTTAAAATATGTATTCTCTGTTTCTCAGCTGACTGATTATCATGCTGGAAACTCAGGTTGGATTCCTGTCCTGATGCTTCGCATAAATATTTTTTCCCCTCTTTATTTACATTTGTATTAATTACAATGGTGAATATTAACGAATACAAAGACTTAATAGTGGTAACCTTTCCCCCAGCTTACAGTAAACGAGGAAAACTGTTCCAGGACAGCCACTCAACAGACATTTTGTTTGTTAGACTTATTGCCACATGACCATTCAGAATAATTTCGAGGGCGGCCCCTGGTCTCCTTGTAGCATTTCCTAAACTCCAAAACTACACGGTCACTTGCTTAAATTTCTAAGAAGCCTAACGGAAATGAAGTATCAATTACATGTAAATGACTATTAATAAATGTGCGATGATATGACGTGTACAATATAAATAAAATGGCGATAGACTACAGGGAAAAGTCAACGGATCAACCTGTACTACTTATAAAACTCCGACCTCCCCTAATGAAATATAATGAAGTCGTAATGTTTTCATGGCTATCACATTGCAGCAACTGGATTAAATGATGTAGTACCGGTAAAGACCTACTTTCGATTTTGTTTATACACAACAATGACAGAGTCGTTGACTTATTATACCAGCCATTCATTGTGTCATTATTCTGGAAGCCGAAAATATTTTCATGTGTGTAGATCTTTATGACGTTAAAATTTAACGACACATACCCACTTTAATATCTGAAATAGTCTGATACTCACGCCGGCTCTGGTGCGGATCTGTGCGGATCTTGGCAGCGATCAATGTTTGGTAGACGCTTGTAAAAGTAGTATGCTATATATGTTATAGAGTAACGTCCCTTCATCAGAACGGAAGCGGCACCCATATCGGTCGTACCTACTGAGAAACACAACAATGCCTTTGAAACATATTCCAAATGTGTTGTCACCAAATCTGCTACATGTGTTAGCATCCATGGGGCATGGTGACGAAATAGGTAGGCGTGATATAAGTTGTCATTCTTTTTGGTATCTAATATTGACTGATCAATAGGCCTATACTAAGCGTGTTGAAGTACATGCACTTGGCCTACAACAGCTTTCTAGGGCCTTGTAGTAAAATTCATAATCAGAAAAGTTATAATGCAAACTTATTATAAGTGTGTAAATTTTGCATGTCCTGCAACCTGTTATTTTGTATTAAAGCAGAAATTAAAACCATTCCAAAGTTTTAATCTTAGATTATAGATAGGCGTATCAAAAGATACTGGCATTACTGTTGTATAGATGATGTAACCACTTATCATCCATTGATGTGATTAGGAGATCTCATTCAGAGTGGAGTATAAAGTCTGCAAACATTTGACAAACTTAATTTTTGTGTCAACTAGGGAGTCTAGTCCCCTATTTGAAAGCCTCTTATTTCCTCATAACCCTTTTGATTTCTCGTGTACTTTATGCAATTCTAACATGTCTGCCTGATATTGTTATGCAAAGTCAATTTAATTGTTCCCAAAAATGTTTTAACTTTTCCCATGGCTTTGGAATACCTTGTCACAACCACTGGTAGGGAAAGTTAATCTCCTGCCTTTTAAATTCCAGATATCGAAAGTACATTATTGACTCACCTCGATGTTCAGACAAGGATTTGTCCCATTAAATTAATTCCTAGTCATTACAACTTTAACAACTCATTGAGGTGTAACAAGGAAACACAAGTTTTGTGAACATGAGAGTCTAATTAGTAAGAGAAAATCTACTTGTCATTTACAGTCAATCTCTGTTTTTTCATCATTTCAGTTTTGGCAGATGCTAATTTTCCAACGGCATCAATTTGCAAGTCTGGTCCAATTGAAGTCCGAGCGGATGGTAAGCTCAATTATCTTATTGATATGGATGAAGGAAACATAAATGAGAAATTATTAAGTTTTGGATATTTCCCTGACAGAACTCCAATTTGATAAATACATTATAGGTCTGTGTTCCTTTATAGATTTCAAAGTTTTTAATTTTTTATTTGTAATGGATTTAGATATAAGAAAGGAATGAGATGAGTATATTCCACAAAGAATTTAATTGTCAACATTTGTAGAAACTTAAGTGCATTTGTATATCTGAACATTTGTCTAATTAATCTTCATTGGTATATATCTGTATATGTCCGTTTCTGCAGGAATCGACATCCCGACATTAATGGATGCCATCCTCCAGCTGTTGCCGTTAGATACCTATGTAGATCGTCCTGTAAGTCCGGCTGTTTATAGAGTCATGTTACTATAAAGGTCATTTTGGAAAGGATTTATATTTTGTTATGTTTAACAATTAGAATTGTGATAATATGTAGTGTGGACATAGAACTAGGAAAGCATAGGCAAAATGGAAAAGAAAACAACTTAGTAATCAACTGATTTGTCCTTCAGTGTTACATGGACCCTTTTATTGTTGTGTAGATAGCCCTGATGGACCTCGTACCTAGTGATAAACAAAGAGGACTACAGACACCAGTATGGGAAAAGTACAAGACCATCGCTTACAAACATGAAGGAAAAGCGGTAAGGTATATGAGCTAAACATATACAGATAAGATAGAAAATCAAACATGTCAAGGTTTAAAACTCAAAGTCATTGTGACACGAAAATTCATGAAATCACATTACCCGGTATATACTTTCCCAAATCCAGCAATAGATGTTGTGTATGATTTTGCCTATAGGCTGGGTTCTTCAGTGGCTGTGCTGTCTAAGAATTAAAACCTAAACAGTCAGCTCCTGTTGAATATCATTATTGTATGGATAGATTTGCTGTGTTAGGTGTATATCAAAGTGTATTGCAGTTGTTCTACCTAGGTACGGTTTGGTTGTAATTACAGTATAATAAAATGTATGGTTAATTGTATACACAAGTTAATTTCGTACTCTGATCATCTCTGTGATTAATGTTGATATGTAGTGTAGTCCTCCCTTACCCAACTCCCACACCCTCCAACATCCACCCAACCTACATCAATTATACAATAACATTTTTTTTTTTATTAATTTTCAAAGATTTTATTATAACAGTGCACTTTATTAGCTTTATTAGGGCCCCGCATCGGTGATGCGGGTGCCCTATAGTAATCAGATTGTCCGTCCGTCCGTCTGTCTGTCCATTTTTTTTACTTCTGACATTTCTCAGAGACAACTGCATGTATCTCTTCACATTACGGAGTGTCACATACTCATTTCGAGTTTCTACAGCGAAAATTCGCAGAGTTATGGCCCTTTGTCACCAAACTTGTCCGGCCTATAACTTCCATGTTGTTTGAAAGACATTCACCAAACTTGCTATATTTATATATCTTGGGAATGCAGAGTGTCACAAACCAATTTCAAGTTTCAATGACAAATATTTGCAGAGTTATTGCCCTTTGTCACCAAAACTTGTTTCTTCTGAAAATGTTCGGTTAGATTTCTTTCAAGTATGTATGGGAATGATATTTTGATTATTTTTGCAGATAAGATTTACTACATTTATCTGCAAGTTTGCTCACTAATATTTGTAACCCTTTCATAATACAAGCATATGCAGGCTTACTTGCAGATAAATATGGTATAAACTGATCTACATTGAATGTTGGATACATGGTTTAATTAACATGCGACATGACAGAGTTATATTTCTCACATATAATATACAGTATTACTGTACATTTCTTTGTCTTTATATAATCAGAAAATCCTACTGTAACGTAAGCAGTGCATATGACTAATATTGCACCTGTTTAATGAAGTCAAATGAAAGCTTATCTGTATTATAAAATACATAAAATCACTGGGGAAATACTTCCTTGCTTCAGGACCAATGTATATATTGTCCTCATACACACTCAATAACTATGTATATCAATAAGCTTCCATTGTCCGATATTCCAACACTGATTTTATGTAAATTAACATATTGCCATATCAGTCGAATGTTTTTAATACCAGTAACAACCATCATATTGGAGTGCACTTTGTATGAGTTATTTCTTCTAAGTTCTGTGCACAACATCTCAAGGTTGTCAAGGGTAATGTAAAATGCTTCCCACTTGACTCTGACAGATTACAAGGATTGTAACACTCAACTGAAGCTGACTATTAGGGTCAAACACATAGCGGGGCCCTTTCTGACTTGTCAGTGTTCTAGTTAGAGACCTGTAACTGTTGAGATAGAGCATTATGTACATATGTAGGTACTTTGTATTATTTGTTGTTATTTTGAACATTCATGTCAAGTTTACATGAGTACTATGTACATATATAAATTGCAAAGAAATGCTTTCATTCTCCTTTAGATTGATGTACAGCTTGTAGAGAGATTTGCATTTTATGAACGAGCCAAAAAAGCCTTTGCTGTTGTCCACACAGGGTAAGTTTTGATTTAATTTGACCCACTTCAAAATGCATTATGCATGAATGAGATGATAGTATCCTTGGAGAATACTGTTCCACATTTGACAATATATCGGCCATACAGATACAGAGTGGTCCTTTCTCAGTCCATTAACTAGTTAACTCTCAATTTAGACAAAAATATTTTTCTATGTTTCTAGAAAGTATTCTATAGAAAAGCAAGACTTAGTGTATAGAATAGATTTGTCACAAATCTAGAATAAACATGACATAAATAAAAACTTGGTAGATACTTAAATGTTTGTAAATTTTCTGTTCCCTTGAAATGTAATCTGAATTTTTAATTACAGAGAAACAGCCTTATATGGAAATATAATTTTAAAGAAAGGTGTTGTGGCCTAATGATGGAGAACTAATCAGTCTACACAGTTCACAAAGACCAAGGGTAGAAAACATTCCACATAATGTTGTATTGTTATAATTATATACCTTGGATATTACATGACAATGTGTAAAGTTCCAAAGATAAAATTGATTTATAATCAGAGATACAGTTTACGTGATATTGGTTGGAAATGCATTTAGTTGTACATGTGTACTGTGACCTTCATAAAGATTGAGGTCTCCAATATGTAAGATCATTTAAGTCACTGAATAATGATTATACTCGTAGAATCATGTACAATGTATTGATTTAATCAAGTGCTATATTGTTGTGTAATAGAACAGAATTTTACTTTGATTTATAATTCTTACATCTTAGGACCAATAGCTATCGTTTTGTGTATCAAATAGATAATTAATTTTGCCTAAAGAATATGATTAATTTTGATTTTGTATTCTGATTAGTTGTTGATCTGTTGCATAGATAAGCAGTGTAGTAAGGACATTTTTTGTCACTGCCAGGTGTAGGTTATGTGAGTGATATTTTTTCCTTGACTATGCAGAGTCGTAAGGAAATTTTGTATCAATGTCAGATGTAGGTTATGGGAATGATATTTTTACCTGACCATGTTTAGTGTTTTCACAGTAATTTTTTCAGGGTTGACTGTTGCACATCTTGGGCAAGTTGTTTGTATATGATGAAGAGCAGATGAAACACTTTATGGTATTGTATGTAGCATTTCAAAAATAACAACAAAATCAACAAATGGTATAATTGCCTTCAAAAACTGGGTTCCCTGAACTTACCATAGAACAGATTGAGGATTTTGCAACATTTTGATCTGACTGAGTTACAAAATATCTCTTCAAACTTCCATATGGAATTAAAAATATCCTGAAAGTGTAAAGTATTTCAAATAAATTTAATAACAGATACAATGTATATCCATTTCTGATTTCAATTGAATGTTTTTTTTTCTCAAGTCATATGTGATTTCTAGATTATGGCTCAGGGACCTTCATTTTTTTTCTGTGAAGGAAAGAATTATTTTGTCCCTTCCAAGGAAGATGTTGAAGGTTCCCAATTTGGCATGAAATCAATTAATATATTGCATGCATATGATTAAATATGGTTATTTTGAATGTAAATCTGTTTGATATTAATTACTAGTGTATCTTGTTGATCCATTTGTCCTTGTTTTATATTTTATACATGTATGTTGATAAGTATGGTAGTTTTATGAAGGTGTAGGTGTTGGTTATCTCTGCATTTTAATTTTGTTCTAATTAAAATATTTTGTGTGTATGAGAAGTATATTTGAAAATCAATATTTTAATAAAATGACATGAAGAATTTCATTATATTTTTGTTTTATTCATTGACACTTGAAATAAGATTTCTATAACAACAAAGAAGTTACTAACATGTCAACAGAATCATAATCCAAATTACAGTACCAGCATTCACATGGATCATTTTTAATGTGACTAGCACCAATGTTGTCATTGAAAAAACAAGAAGTGTGAAGCATCATGACAAGGGGATAGAAATGTAGCCTGTAAAGCAGTGAGGTCTTTTGGGACATGTTTGTATGGGGCAGATCTGTTTATGTAACCTTGGTAATGGACACCAGGAAATGTGTACCATTAACTTTAGTACATACAAATATATTTCAAATCGTAAGGACCTTTAAAACAGAAAACAGGAAAATTATGGTGTTTTCTACAAGTCTGATTATGACTAGACATTATCTAACTGAATGAGAAATTTCATGAAATATATACAGGTACAAGTAATATAAGGAAATCTTGTTATCAAGAGAAAATTGGTTCATCAAAGGTAATGATAAGTGCAGTCGCACTGAAATGCCATGACTTAAACAAAACTATAAATACAGGAACAGGGAACCCAGTCTTGTAATATTATCCAGATAGTGGACAAAGAAGACAAGAAAATATCACACCAAATGTTTTGAAATGATAGAAAGTAATTTATGTATACAAAATATCAATATTCCACAACATACAAATAAATGTAAAGCAGTGTGATAAGAACCCGTACCACCTCACCCAAATTACCATGGTAATTTCCAAGGCAACATTGAGGTTCAAGGACAAATACACTGTAAACCAGGATTAATTAGTAAGCTGTTCATGGACACCAAAGTCAATTTACATGTGACAGTTATTCCCTAGAGAGTAAACTTACAGGATCTAGACGTAGGCTAGCTATATACCAGTATTCCCAGCATATTTCATCAAAACTTCAGATAACATTTTAACATTAAAGTAAATGAAAATAAATCCTTATCAAAATTTTAACATAAATTGAAACAGTAACACATTTCTATAATGACAATTTTTTTGCCATATTCATGTATTAATGTAAGGACTTGAGCCAGCGTTTCTCTATTTTACTAGTCTAAAGTCACAAAAAAAAACCCTGTTAAGAGTAGATATCAATATTGTGTTCAAGTCAGATCTCTCATTTCACTTCTGACTCTTGCTACAAGAGTCAACTACAGAGGTGATGAAAAACTGAGAGATCTGATTTTAATCAGATGGGTGATATAAAACCCTGGTTTGATATCCAACACTAAAATAACAATGTCCTCTGTTACATGCATTATAACAAAATCTATTTTCAAATTCATTAATGACAAGAAGTATAAACATCATGAGTACACATCTATAACAGTTATTGACCCTTCAGTGATCACCTAATACACAGATCTGTACCCATTCATACATGATAACTTTGTATATGTATCTAACCTATAACAAACACAAAATCATGTATGGTACTCAATATACCCTTGTGTTTCCATGTATGTAAAACATATAACATACCATAGATGAATGGCTTTTTGTGTAGTGTATAACCTGAATTATTGTATAAAAACAATTTTTGTAACTATGGATAAACCACAAAAATTAAATGCAATAAACAAGATTTCAGATGAAAAAAATATGTGTAGAGTTTCCACAAATATTTTCACCATTTAAATGATGTCTGAGGTTAAATTCAAAAAAGGAAATATCCACTACCATTTCCTGTTCAACTGTAGTTTAGTTACAGGAGACCGTTGGTCCAAAATCTTGGTGTAAATAGTCATGAACTTCAAATTTGGGAATCAATATCATCATTCACTCACAGACCCACACACCCATCCTCATCCACATCCTCATACAAATAAAACCTCAAAAGTTCATTTAATAAAATAATGAAACATGTAGTTTCCACCTATGTCTATCTCTTTTAACAATCTTAATGATAAGATATTTGAACATTTCTTTGCAGAAATAAATGATAAGCTTTACCTGCCAAATCCAAAATGGCCACTTGGAAGCCATTTTGTTTATTGAATCAGCCCCAAAATCACACGGGCACAACTAGGGACCAAGGGGAACCTACATATGCAATTTGAGAAGGATCCATCTAAAACTTCTCAAGAAATAGCGATAACAAAATCTGCCGGACAGGTGAACCATGGACCACGTATGCAGAACGATTTGAAAAGAACACCAGGTGGGCTAAAAAGAACAGCCGGTTATTCAATATAATGGAGATAATCACTCATTGGGAAATAAGGAATGTACGAAACTTGTCTTGTACATTAAAAAGGACACAGTGACTGTATACCTCATATAAATTTAGATGTCAAAACTTATTGACTGATGAAATCTCATTTTTGTCAAGTTTATACCAGTTCTCATCTTATCTCTTTTTACTAAATCCACTGAGAACAAGACGGTCTAGGAAGAGTTTATATTGAACTCTGTATAACCCGAAATCTTGACATCAAATCATTATATACCTATGATATTGCTACATTCTCTTTTATCATTTTTCCAAATTTTCATGAAAATATCATTTATCTGTGACTTTATATCAAATATTACAGACATGTATGATGGGTTGGACTGGGCATCGACTGTACATAATATATATATGGTAGCCATATGAATGAAATATTGTCACATAATACCACGGATCATAGCTATATGTACATACTTAAAGACCTAGTCACTGCCTCTGGCCTTAAGCTTGCTGTCAAAGGAGATAAGAACAGTGTTATGGCACAGTGGTGAATCTTAGACATGTAAAATAACATGACTAAAAGATGATATCTCCATTATCTTTTTGGTACAGCAATGGACAAGCATTTTCTAGTCTTCAGTTTCACTTCAAAGGAAGGAACTTTAAAAGAGACCACAGCGATTTAGTATACAGAACACTGTGTTAAATGGTAAAGTCAACATCTTGCTTAACAATAAAATGCACCAACAATCAATAAAACAACAAATCACAGTAATCATCAAATATTGCACTCTCAAAAATCAACCATATTTACAATATTGCAGCAGATCTTTGGACAACAGTTAAATTTGTCATAACAAGTCAAAACTTTCAACCTTACATGATGTCTACAGATACAATCAAAGTTGACATTATACAGACTTTATATCAGTCTGATAAACTATCATGATTTATACAATTAAAAAAATTCATATGCGCAATTTGTGGATATAATCTATACTAAATTAATCTATTTAATCTGTATCTAATGATATTTCCCTATATCTCCTGAAATCCATCTGTATCTACTGATATCTACCTAGATCTACTAATATCTACCTAGACCTACTGACACCCTAGTAGATCGAATATCTACCGAGATCTACTGATATCTACCTAGATCTACTGATATCCACCTATATCTACTGATATCTACCTAGATTTACGGATATCTACCTAGATCTACTGATATATACCTAGATCTACTGATATCCACCTAGATCTACTGATATCCACCTATATCTACTGATATCTACCTAGATTTACTGATATCCACCTAGATCTACTGATATCCACCTATATCTACTGATATCTACCTGTATCTACTGATATATACCTAGATTTACTGATATCTACCTGGATCTACTGATATCTATCTAGATTTACTGATATCCTTCTAGATCTACTGATATCTACCTAAATCTACTGATATCCATCTAGATCTACCGATATTTACATAGATCTACTGATATCTACTGAGATCTACTGATATCCATCCATACCTACTGATATCTACCTAGACCTACTGATATCCTCCTAGATCTACTGATATCTACCTAGTTTTACTGATATCTACTGAGATCTACTGATATCTACCTAGATCTACTGATATCTACCAAGATCTACTGATATCTACCAAGATTTACTAATGTCTATACTTACTGATATCAACCTACTGATATCCATCTATATCTTCTGATATCCCTGTATATATTGCTGTTCTGTAGAAATATCAATAAATGCAGAATTATCAATAAATGCTGTTATTTCATGGGATGGCAGATTGGCTTGACTCCTTACTCTGAATGATTGAATTAGACATTATCATTTGTTGACATTATATCCCAGACACATACAGATACACAAATATTGCAATTAAATATACTACATAAAGGGACAAAGGAGACAAAATGTAAGCTTTATGTTTTAGATAATGACACAGTGTCGTGCAAACAGATCAATATCACTGTTTAAAATTAAGTAACGTACAGCTTCGAATGATGTTCACATTCCTATATTTCAGTATTTTATATCAAAATAATATTAAAATTTCCTTTAATCTACTGAAAAATACTTCCATCAGCATATAAAATCTATTATATCTTGATACTCGTCATTCATATTTCTAAGAGAAAAAACATTATATGATTTAAATAAAAGATGTTCTAAACCTATTTCAAATCAAATAGACTACTTTTGGAGGCACTCAGAAAACTTTATAGAAATGTTTAATTCTCTGTAATGAAAATAAATTAAAGTGGAAAGTTAAATGTCAATCGTAATTGCTGATGGGACCAGTACTGGACTGATACAGAATAACTTGTAGTAGTAAAACTCTACTTAAATATGTAAAATGGAATAAAAAATATCCAATTTGACACTTCCATTTCATTGTGAATTACAAATTTTCTCCCTTTCTCCAATAAAACTTATGTAATCAAGAATCTAAATTGTCTGTCTTTCTCAGCTAAAATAATGTAATTAAAAGAGTCTAAATTGTCTTCCCTTCTCACATACCAGTAACAACAGAAAAGTCTAAAATGTCCAGACTTTGCACACATTAGTACATTATTAAAATGCATTGTCTCTCTTTCACACACACTACTAATTGACAGACAGACAGAATTGTCTCTTACTTCTCAAATGACCCACATTTTCTGAAAGACTTGATTCTTATAAATATATATACCTAATAATAGCTGTATTAAATATGAGACATTTATCAAGATATCTGAATCTTTTTGATGGCTGTTGGTAGCTCTACGGCACTGACTGTGAGGGGCCACATCCCTCCAATAATGCCAGCCTGAACAGAAACACCCATAGCTACTGCTAACTCTGGATCGACTGATGTATTAGGATCCTTATTGAAAAAGTCACGTATAAGCTCTCGTACTTTTGGTATTCTAGTGGATCCTCCTACCAGGACTATTTCATCCACCTCATCTTTGGGAAGTTCTATAGTTTTCAAAACTGTCTGAATTGGAACAAGAATTTTAGCAAATAAATCCCGATTTAATTTCTCAAATTCAGATCTGGTTATAGTTGCTGTATAAACAACATCTTGTCCGAATGATTTCAGAGGAATGGTCACTTTAGTGCTTTCTAGACTGGTCAGGCTAATCTTGATGTTTTCCACACTGAGTCGAACACTCTGTAGATCCTCACGGTGAGTTAGCTGGCGGTTATACTGGGAGGATATACTGTCAAGTATATGATTAAACAACCTCAAGTTGAAGTCCTGTCCTCCCAGATGGTTGTTACCTGTAAATCAAAGCAGATTTTAGTAAACATGCTTGTGCTAGAGTTGTTTCCCCTTTGGCGATCTTATAGTATAATGTTTTCGAAAGCTTTTCAATTGATGAGGTAGTTATGTGGAGGTTTTTTATTGAAAATGGGAAAGTATTTTTTCATCTGAAAACTGCAGTCATACTGTTATCCAATGTAGAAAAATACAAAGCTGTAATATCATATTTTTACACTGACATGAGGCTAAGGCATGTCACAGCACCTCCATGACAGAACTTGGAAAATTAAACAATGTATTTTTTTCCTAAACTTAATTTTATAGGTGAAATATGTCTTTCAATGAAAATCTAAAAAAAAACCCTAAAAACCTCACTACTTTTTTTTTATCAAAGAAAGAAGATGTTAAAAAGTTCTATACGGATCAAAATGTTGATGACTTTAATTTTATTTTCTTCTTCATGTAATTCACAACAGCCCAAATATTTAAGAAGTATTGTGACTTAATTTTAACCAATAACCAGAACTTGAAGACATTGGTTTAAGTCTTAAATTTTAGTCACTTTAGTGTGACCTTTACCAGTCTGTTAAAAGGCACATAGATTAAGTGATATCTAACAGTCTGTGCATAGCCCATACCTGCCATGGCCTGAGTGAGGAACATCCCTCCTTGGACATTGAGGAGGGACACATCCAATGTTCCTCCCCCTAGATCTACCACCATAACATTCTGTAGGCTTGGCTTGGTGTGCAGACCATATGCTAAGGCAGCTGCAGTTGGTTCATTGATCACTCTGAACACCTCTAGTCCTACAATATAAACATACATTTCTGATAACTAGGAGCACTGCAGATCTTTATATAGACCAACACTGGATTTACACTAAACTCGCTTAGAGTGCACTAATCATACTGTCAAAGAGCAATGTACTGAATGTGAAACTTTAATTTGAAGTATTTTTCATGAATGCTGCTTTCCATACAAAATGTTCACTTAGACCTAATTGTTATACTTCAACCAATTATTTAAAAATGAAAATCTCAAAATGAAATATGTCAAAGGATCTTTGAAAGTACTGAATGCCAAGATAAGAATGTAGTCTTAGGTTCAGATCACAACTCTACCTGTGAAGTTCTGGTATAGTCTGTAGTACAATGTTTATATAATGCCTCTGACTTGTAAAATTTGAGATCACAAGCCTACCTGAGTAGAACTGGCATTGTTTGTAATACAAGGTATTTATAATGACCCTGACTTGTGATACTTTGGATCACAACCCTACTTGTGTAGAAGTAGTAAAGTCTTTAATACAAGGTATTTATAATGACCCTGACTTGTGATATTTTGGATCACAACCCTACTTGTGTAGAAGTAGTAAAGTCTTTAATACAAGGTATTTATAATGACCCTGACTTGTGATACTTTGGATCACAACCCTACTTGTGTAGAACTTGTATCTGGTACAGTTTATGTACTTATTTTAACATAAGCTTAATTTCAGAACTTTTTGCGCTATTTTTGCAATGCGTTTTCATGTACCGTGCTAAAATTCAAAATTTTAAACCAGGTATGTCTCTATACAAAATGCAGTTCTAACAGTAATCTGACCATAACTACCGGTACTAGACCATTCTATTGACAAAAGGGTGTTAACAATCAAACACAGGTAAAAGCTGTTATTCGTGCGTGTCTCTGAAGTCTCAATTTGATCTCTGAAACTCAGATTTCTGGAATTGAACCCTTCTGGATGTGATAATTTATATCTGTGCTAATAAATCATAACCTACTTTTTTAGGGTTTGCACTAAAATAAGTATATTACAGTGTAATCTGATTACTAATCTTTATAATGACAGGTATCACCATTAATCATAGACATTTCCTCTTTTAATAGATCCTCACCAGTCAAGCTTGCAGCTTTCCTTGTGTAATTTCTCTGTAATGTATTGAACTCAGCCGGGACAGACATCACCACTTTTGTTACTGGAGCACTAAGGTTCGCCTCCGCTGTAGATTTTAGCTTGTCAATAATCACTGACCCTATCTCCTCTGGGCGTAAACGCAACTCTGTGTTGTTCACGGATAAAACAAACTGTACCATACCAGTTCTGTCAGATAAAATCTGTATCAATAAAAAGATATCAATTATTGGTTTATAAGTGAAATTTAGTCTTTTTTGAATTTATGGCTGGACATTGGTAACATATGCCAAACCCCTTATGGAAGGGGTATGTAAACCATTTCATAAGTAATCCTTACCTTAAACGGGTAACGTTGCTGTGCTTGTGATAACTCCTCTTCTGTTATTACTTTGCCAATGAAGCGCTTTGCATCATAAATAGTATTTTTAGGGTTATTTTCAGCTTGAGCGACTGCATCATAACCAACTAGAACACCTCTGTCAGTGAAGGCAACTACGCTGGGAATACATTGATGACCGTCCTGAACTTCTAGAATATCCACCTTACCAGTTACTGCATGGTAAACACCTACACACGAGTAGGTCGTCCCTATGGAGAAACACGCCTGCATTAAAAATCTTGTACATGCAACAAGTCTGAAAAATGCAACTGACCAATTTGTGATTTAACTTGTAACATTCAAAGTATTGGAGATGTTGAAATCATAACACATTTATGGTGCAACAGCTAGCCTTGGGGACTGACAAAATACATAAAACAAAACAAGCTTCAGGATAGTGGGTTTATCATAGGACATGGAAATAGTAGTATTAGATTTTACATAGGGTTATTACCAGACATGGACCTATTGCCCAATTAAAGACTTATTCAAGTTATACCTTAAAACTGTGTAGGATAACACATGCCAGAGATGTGACGATATAATAATATTTTAAACAAAATATTCAAATCACAATAAAATTGCATTAACTGTTTTGAATGTTTGTGTTTTGTTTTAAAATAAATTTAACAAACAGAGAAAATTGTTTATTGTATACATATAGGATTAAATACACAGTAACTTTCAATCAGACTTTCTCTCTGCATTTTTTGCTAAACGACATCAGAATACCTGTGTAACTTACCCAGGTCAATTCCCACAATCTTTGGTGTGGGAGGAGGCAGGTAATGTTGTGCAAAATAACCAGCCATAAAAATCGCCATTATGGCAGTACCTGTAACAGTGAAAAAGAATTTTAGTCAAAAATTAAAGCCTTTGGCTTGTAAAACTCTCTAGCCAAGCAAATCTAGACCTAACCTTAACTAAATGCATGTATTATGTATAAGTTTACAATTTTATGTCTCCCTATATAGCCTGATGCCCGGCTTGCAGTTTTATTTACATTTCAAATTTCAAGTTATGCCCAGTAAAATCAAGATTTCTAAATCAGTACAAATCTACGAAAAAATTATATTCATAATTATAATTAATTACAATATAAATATAAATATAAAAAAAAAAATATAAAAAATATAAACCAGAGTATCAGTGAAACTGATGACAAAGGGTAATAATTTTGAATTTGGTATACTGTACATTCTCTTTACATGATCAATGTATACAACAGGTGTTATGATCCAAATTTTAGTGCAAGTAATGCTAAGCTCATGACACAAAATTTTAACTAAGGGCAATAACTCTGTAATGAGGGGTCATGGACCCAGACTGCACCTTGCTTTTGTATTACTCATGTACACATCATGATTCACTATCCAGACAATGTAATGTTCCTGACAAAAAATATTAACAAAGGGTAATAAGTAAATGAGGGGTCAAGTGCCCTGAATTTGGTACAGAGCATATTTTCTTTGTATGATCAACGAATGCACTAACTTTCATGATCCTTGCTTATTTGTAGGCAAAGTTATGTTCCAGATACAAAAGGACGGATGAACAGATTGACGGACATGATGGAAATTATATGCTTCCACAACCATTTTTGGGCAGCATGAAAATACCTCTACTTTTCTGCTTGTTCCATTTCTGTTGCGTTAACAAAAAGATAGCTATTGCTCATTGCCTGATATACAGGAAGAAATGTTTTTCCTCATATTCAGTTGAAACATTTCCCCTATTGTTAATATTTCAAAGGACACAGATGTACATTGTGCATGTTTATGTTCAGACCATGAGGTTTATAATTGCATATTTAAGCTAAGTTTGAGTAAACTAAAGATCTGCAAATGTAGTAATTAAGTAATTAATTAGTTACTCAAAAGCAGGATCATCTGATATAGAAACGTGTAGTATTCTTCTAAGCATTTGCAACAAGAACACATTGTTGGCCAAAATGAAATGTGTTCATACTATAAGATTTACTTTTTAAAAAGCAACCATTTATACAACAGTGTTTTTCTACTGATACCACTGATTTGCTGATAATATTAAGTTACAGAGGTGCTTTATTAGCATACAGTGCTAAGAAGAACACATATATTACATAAAATCATCATTTGAATGGAAATGACATTTTGCTGAAATTAAAAAAGTAAAATCTGTCAATCATGGTCCGAAAATAGTGACTGTCTATGATTATGTGTGTTCAAGCTTTTATTGTTTGATACTTTTTTCTCAAATAAGCAATATATCTTGGTATTCTTTTTTGTAACATAAACTATTTCAATAAAGTTCTCTTTTTTTATCTGTTGGTCTACAACTTGCTAGTTAATTCAAATCAGAAATGAGTCATCAAAAGTGATAATTTTTTTGAAACATTCTTATAAGTAAGATGCGCATGCTTGGACTTTTTAACCAAAAATTGCCAAAGGGTGTAGCCTATTATTCATGGCCGATTTTTATTCATTTGATTGACGACAACAAAACACTAGCATCTAAGGATGGATTGATGGAATATTTAATCGTATCTGGGAGGATGATGAAAAATGTATTAGAAAAAATACACTAATTTTCCAAAGGAATATATGCTCGTTTTTTATGGTGGATGGATTTGATCACAGTACACTTTACTTTTTATTATTCTGATTGCTTGACATGTTACAGTAACCTACAGTAACCAAAAGCATCTGCTTGTGAAGTCAAAAGTCCACATGATAAAAATGGGTGAATCTAATGAGTGTCCTAAGAGAAATGAGTGTCCTGTGTGTGTCCTGGGACATTTTCCGCATCCAGCAGTTCATTAATTGAGATTTTTTGATAATTCTTTTTATATCATACAAAGAATCATCTTTATTGACCGACTTTAAACTACTGAAATGCACCGTTGAACACTATAGAGCTACAATGTTGGAGTGAATGTCTTTCTAGCTTTTCGCATGCAAAGCAATTCGTTAATGATGATCTTTTAATGATTTTTGGGTATTACAAATGCAAACCTCTAAACCAGTACTTGCAAGACTTCATTTCATTCATTCCAGGAGGAGAGGTGACAGAGGCTGATCAATCTGAGACAAAATTCTTCCAGAAATGAAATTCATGGAGCATCCAAAAGTGAAAGACATGGAGCATAGATGTTCAGCACCTTCCCATTGCTAATGTTAATCCAAATTACTGACAACATTTTCACTTTCCAGACTTTGCTTGTATTGCTTTTAATTTTTATTAACTATAAAGATCATTTCACACAAATGAATTAAAATAATTCTATTGCTCAAATACCTGTTGTATAATGCCAACCAATATCAGGATGTCACAACATATACACAAGAACACAAACTGTCAACATCAAAATAACTGTGATTGATCACATACTGTAGTGCACCAAATTTTCTTTATTTCTTGAAACATTAACCAGTTAACCAAATTTGATTGTTTTTGAAGATCTTGATACTTTCATCCGAGAATTTTGTTGCGGCATGTAAGCTTTGTCACCAAACAAACACATAAATGGATTGAAATGGGTCTATCATATTTATTATTATGAAAAAACTGACCGGTAAAACACCATTATTTTTCTAAGAAATATCCACAGATACGACCTCAAATTCGCTCATCTTAAATTATCGCCATTCTGATTGACCGGCTGAAAATTATTGAAATGCGCTGTTGAATTTAATGTGCAGCGCGCACACTTACACTATACTGAGCTATCACGTAGGAGAGAGTGTCATGCGAGGTGTTCACGCGCCCGTCAATTCGTTAATAAAGATGTTACAACATTTATTTTTGTATTATACAATTGACAACCATGTATAACAAAGGATATTCGCAATTATTTCATACAGGTCAATACAGATGATATAGAAAATATATGTAAAATATATTGGCTAGCGCGATACCGCGATCGACAAATGATAATGTCACTGACAACATGTCTGGGTAACTTTCCTGTTCACGAGATTCATTCGGCGTGATCAGGTTTAGACCAACAATTATGATTCCAACAACTAATCCTGATAACTGTCTGAATTAACATACATACCAATAATAATAAATGTCGCTCCCATGTCATGTGTCGCAGTCTAAACTTGTCTGAAATGAAAAGTTGTTCTTCCCATATGCTCAACCAATCTGCTGTCAAATGTACCGGAAATCAACGTGTATTACTGAATCACGCAAACGCTTTAAAATGAGTCGGAAACGGCGGCGGACCGGATACAAATACATATGATATTTTCTTAAGAAAGAAGAAGAAGGAAAAAACACGTTCTAATTAATAGCTACCAGTTTGTAATATATATTTATACAAAGGAAACTAATAGGAAAAAACATGTTGGAAACTAGAAATTGTCATAGACAATTTTGACATTTTTTCACTTATTTTGGCCTGCAATTAAAGGCAATGCCTGCAATACATCGGCACTCTGTATGGAATCAAAGTACAAAAGGAATCAAGAGTAAAAGATCAAAGCACTGAGCGTACTGTTTTCCAAAATAATGTGTATAACGTTAATTTTGAACTGTACCGAAAAAAAAAAACAGAAGATGAATTTTTGGAAAACATTACTTTTGTAATCAATAGTAAGTGTTCACAGTACAACTGGAGGTTTTGAAAAAAATTTCGCAATTGTTTACCTCTAAAAATATTAAATTGAATTCTTAGGATTTTTGTTACATGATTGACGCCTGAGACCTTGAAGATGGGTAAAGGTCATTTATATTATCATACTCGATTGACCATTATGTTTGCACGCTATAAATGTGAAATATCAAGTCCTCAGGCTTCACAGAACTCAAGAAGATTGTAAACGTTTGATGGTCCATATAACACTTAATGGAAACATTGGCCCCTATGGAAAACCGGAAGTTTGCCTTTTGTGGAAGTTTTGCTTATACCATTCAAAAGCAAGTCTCCGCAGATAGTTGTTGACCAAATCACGTAACTGTATTCTTCTTAAAAAGAAAGAAAACGCCATTTAATGCTATTGATGTAATTGACCCCTGTGATCTTGAAAGTACGCCATGGTCATCCATATTAACAACAGTTATGGGTAATTATATCAACTTTATATGTATTAGATATCAAGTCTATAGGCCTTTCCATTGTAGCGACACATAGTTTCCGAGTTATTGCTGTTTTTCGAATTTCTGATAAATTGATCATGGCGGCCATTTTGGATTTTTGACCTACTTAAAAATGCGGCGTTTATATGTTCAGATGTACTTCCATAACATACTATATAGGTTGCGTGTTTATCCCTTATAATTTAAATTCGGAAGAAGAAGAACAAGAAGAAACATAACAAACACAATAGGTCTATTCAACTTTTGGTGAAAACCCGAATAATTAAAAAAAAAAAAAAAGAAAAAAAAAGATGAGCTTTGAAATTTCAAAATTTTATATTTATTATCTGCCGGAATGTGTAAAAAGTAACTCCCTCCACCTCGTTGACACATGGTTTCATCATAGCACAAATAATCATAGAAATGGAATGACATATTGCAGTGCCGTTTTAATTGTAATTCGTTTAAGTGATAAATGATCATTCGATCCAAGAACTTTGCAGCTGAGAGCAGGGATCTTACCACTGTGCTACCGTTACGTTATTGATTGTAGAGTTTGCTTTCAAAAAGGAAAATTGAACCCTGTTTGTCTGTGTTAAACAGAATTTACACTGGAATTTTAACTCAATGGACAATCGCCCAGTGTCTTTCGATCACTTTTGATTTACCTTAGTTGCCTCTTGGCCTTCAAAATTGTAGCCCCTTAATAACACTGACGAGAGGAACAAGCGCGAAACTGTTGTGTAGATTAATTCATTAGTTGGCTCTACTGTATCTAACTTTTATGGCTTTCTTTTGGAGCAGACATACGCCCTGCATCCAATCTTTTCTGTATATGCTATGTATGTTCCATAAAGTCGTCTGTTTGGGCATAAACTCATTTGCATATACAGTACAATTCAATTTAACTAATAAAACGAACCTGTCAAGAGGTATTCATGTTTAAAATAACAAATTATGTAGCAATATTTTCACGAAAAAAACTGAAACAGACAACAAAGTAATTAGCCGTGACTTTTACATAATCACATTGCATTACTACAAAAGTCCGCATTTCAAACCTGAAACTTCAGAATTTTCTCCGACTAGCGACACTATGTAAGTCGAAGTGTTTGAAATAACCATGCAGTATTCACACATAGGTAACGGTGTTCTCAGCCCATCGAATGGATCTCGATAGGAGCAACTATACGGGCACATTTTCTTGCCAGGCCTCATTTTAAAGCGATTCAGCTCGCAGCCCACAAGGAGCGAACGTTCTATATGTGGAATATACCATTATAATGACAGGAATCACATTGGACGTCCGACACCTGTGTTTGTACATGGTAGTGTTTTAGATCTCGCCGAACTTTCACTACCTTGTTGCTCTTTGACACAGTTATGGTACTAGAAATTATATATAATATGAATTTTTACGAAACTGGTTTTTTCCGTCGTGCTTGAAATCGGTAGGTGTTTTTGTATCTTAAAGTTTCTGGTTTTTTTTTTTTTATGTTTCACGTCCTTTACCGACTTCAGTCTCTTTATTGTATGTTTTGTCTTTAAACACTGAGGAGTGTATCTTCGTAATGAAGGGCGACAGGAATTTGAGATAGGTTCAGATAAATAGTTTCTCTGTTCAAGTACATAATGCTTCCTTGTCAGTATCTGTTACCACGCAATTCTATGGGGTGCCATCACAGTGTCATAGCTGGGGTAGGGGTAAGTCGGGATGGTGACCTTTTCTAGCAATACACATGATCAATGTGCTTTTATATCATGGTCGCCAACGTTATTCAAAAGTCTTTACATTGACCAATGTGGCATTGATAGTAGGTCAAGGTCATTCAAGATCTTGAGCCGAGTCTCACCTCTTAATGGAATTAACAAGTATCAGTTATTGGAAATTGACCATGTAAACAGTACATGCCAATCATCTGAACAAGAAACCCAATGGACCTTAACACTCAGTTGAGTTAATACACACCAATCATTAGAATAGGCCTAAGAGACCTTAACACTCAGTTGAGTTCATATGATCACAGTTAATTTTGAGACAAAATGCAATAAATATGCTTAAAAGTTATTTAAACATATTAAACATGATGAAATTTACCCCTCCTTTCTGATAAGGTAAAACCCTCAACCGACGAAATTTGTAATGATAAAGCACCTAAGAGCACTTGACATTTTTGGATTTAAGCTCCACCCTTCAGGCGCCAGGTTTAGGGTCTGCATCTTCACTTTCATTCCATCTTAATACTGAGAGAAAACTTTACAATCAAGATTAAATTATTTCTCATTAAAAAAAAGATTACGCAAAAAAAAAAAAAGAGTAATTTTCACACTAAACCGCAGTAAAATTTACAACTTTCTTTAATGGAAACGGCACACACAGGGGTAAAAAATAATCATTATTATTATTTTGATACAGCATCTGTGATTTTTTGTTAGTTTTTAATTCTTCAGTAAATCAGTCTGGAGAACGTTTTTGAAATTTACGCAAATTTCTCACTTTGGTCAATGCCCTTCATTTGGAGTCATACGTCTGATAATATGGTTAATGATTGGTAAAGGGAATTTGCTGCTGCTGCAAAAAAAATAATATTGAAATCACTCCAGGTTTTTTCTTAAGAAGTCAGAAATAGGAAAACGTTAAAGGGCAATGGATAAAAAATGCCACTGCCACTGAGGTTAACTCAACAGATCTTACAAACCAGATGCAGTGTTATTTTCCAGCAAGAATACATTGATGATGTTGGAACTGACTATGTCCCTAGAGATGAGGTGTGAAACAGCTGTCATGAATGGAAGATGACCAGGTATATATAGATATATATATATATATATATAGAGAGAGAGAGAGAGATTGGGGAATGTGGTAGAACAGGGCATCACCATGACTTTGGAGGCAGAAGTCAGAAATGTGAAAATATAAACTGATGAACACCAACCAAAAACAAAGACATCAGAAACTTCACTGAGATAAAATAAAGTGACATATCAAAATTTATATTATGTATACCTGGGTACTTCTAAAGAAAATAGGTAAGAATTAAGTTGATAGTGATGCTGTGGAGGAACGTTGCATCATAGGACAAATTTACTTGCCTTTCAGGCAGTTGCATTACTAAAAACAATCATCATTCTTTCACAATTTTGGCACGACAATAAGTTTACTGTAATAAATTTGTAAAACAGACTATACTAACTATAATAATTGCTTTTCAGTCTTTCTCGCAGGTCACACTGAGGTGAGATTCTGGGATTTTTATGCTTTTGTGTAATATCTCATTCTCAGAATGTATGGTATCAGGTTTCCATCCACTTTCCCCTAAAAATGTTCAAATTCTCTGATTACAATAATGACCCAGAATTATCTCTGCTGAGATTCATTTTCATAACATGAAAGGCACTTGAGCAACATTTCGCCCCGTCTACTTGACATATTGCAAATCGAATGTCCAGAAGAATACCCTCCTTCGATAGACTGGAAACAAAATAATACACGACAAGTCATACACATCACTTTTATTACTTATATTCATAACAATTCCATTCTTTTGCCAAAAGTCACCACTGAAAACCATCAATACCAATATTTGAATATTATTTTTACAGTATTTCTATGGTACTTTTCCGATAAGTTCATGGAACTTTGTGTACAAGAAAATCTATATGTGGTTTAATTTTTCAAATGTATGACCCAACAGATACATTTATAAAGAATGAAAACATATTGCTTAGTACAACTGGTCGAATAATGATGTCTTTACAGAAGTTAATAAAACTTTGACTAAGGAAGTTAATGAAACTTCGACTTACATCATGCAATGATTCATCACATTACTTTTTATATCTCAACATTGTTATGAAAATAAAGCTAGCTACATCTTCTAAAAAGACCGAGAGGTAAAAAATTTAGTGCAAATGAACTTTAAAATTATTTACATGAAACTCTTTCTGTTAATATTTCCTCATGAATTTTTGAAAATTTAACAGTATGTTTCTCAGCTAAAGAAAGTGATAAATAAATATATTCCTTCAATCTGTAAAGATCAATTCTGTATTCAAAACTTTAAAAAGTCTGGTAAAGGCTCTATCTAATATTAGCAGAGAAAGCAAAATACTGTACATATGTATACAAGAACATATACCTTACATGTAATTAAGCTTGTAATCAGTGAAATTTATCTTTCATTAATCACAAATTCAGAAGACTTCTTATAATCAAATTACGACAGATATACCAGTAGATTGCACATTTAGTATACAAAGTTCATCTGATACCAATTCAACAGTCTCTGAACATTGAACATAAAACATTAATCCCTCTGGTCTGACATAGTTAAACAGATTACTTCTGTCTAATCTCATTCCTTGCCTGGCAAGGTCACAATGATGAATCTTGTCTGCTGTCATTCCTAGCATGACAAGGTCACACTTATGACATCTGGCTGATGTAATTCCAGGCCTGACAAGGTCATACCTGATGATGTTTGTCTGTAATTCCTGGCCTATCAAGGTCACAATGATGACATCTCTCTGATGTCATCCCTCGCAAGAAAAGATAACACTGAAGACTTTTGTCTGATGTCATTCCTGGCCTAACAAGTCACACCTGATGGTTTTTGTCTGTCATTCCTGACCCGACAAGGTCAAACCTGACTTGACAAAGCCTTACTGATGACTTTTGTCTAATTTTGGTCCTAGTATGACAAGGCCTTATCTATGACAACTGACTTAAATTGTTGGACAGACTTGATCACACTGGTGGTCCCTGATTTTTGGATGATTCCCAAAGCTCAAGAAGTCTCTGGTTGCTTACTCCCTTAAAAGGATTGAACTTCAAGTTTACAAGTTCATGGAGCTTGTAATGGAAGTGCATCTGGAGTATTTCAACACTGGCCTGTTCTATACCAGCTTTCAAAGGAGAGAGCTGCAATGTAAAATAACACAAAATGTATATTGTTTTCATGTAAAGTATCTCAACAGTGGAGACAGCTGGAATAAAAGAAATAAGAACATGAAAAATACTTTTTTTATTGTATGTAGAAAATATGTTCATACTTCACAACTGGTAAGAAAATGTGAGACATTTGATGACTACATCTTCATCAGAAAAATGACCAGTGTGAAGTATATACACACTGAGGTACTATATTCCCTTTTATTAGGATCCATAGACTTGAACATATCTAATTCAGTTTTTAAACAATTGACTTTTATGGGAAAGTATGTACACCATAACTTCCTAATACAAGAGGCCCAAAGGGCCTGCATTGCTCACCTAACTACTTCAGTTACTTAGTCATTGAATGAAGAATTTCAAAAATGACTCATTATTTCTAAAATAATTTCCATATTGGTTCCAGGCATTGTAATCAGACAGTAGTCAGAATCACCATGCATAAAAATTGCTTCAGAACTAACTTGGACAGTATCCTTGCCTGGAAGAACTTTTCCCCTATTAGCCCCACATCTCTGATTCCTGGTTGATAAAAAATTTGGTTCATCTCAACTAGGTATGCTTCTGACCAAATCAAGACAGAACCAAACCATTCCCACAATAGAATTTCAGAAAATTTCCTCTATTTCCACTACTTGGCCCCGCCCAAATGGACAGAGACCCACCATTTATACAGAATTAATATCCCTTCACAAGTATGCTTCAGACCAATTAGGACAGAATCCTGATATTTCTACAGAAGAAGGATTTTAAAGAATTTGCTCTATTTCCCCTTTTTGACCTCCATCAGGGCCGAGATCTATTGTTTATACCACTGATTCTCCTTCATCCAAGAATGCTTCAAAATTGGACACATTCCAATCATTCCTACAGTTGGAGTATATGTCTGTAAACGAAATAAAGATTTGCTCTATTTCCCCCAAATGTGGCCCCGCTCCTTCCCACCACAGGTGGCATAGTCCTGCTATTTATACAAAAATTGATATCATTACAGCACTCTTCAGACCAAATTGGAAAGAGTTCTGGTATTTCTACAAAAGAAGATGGATTATGGAAAACCCTATTAGTCCAAGCCCCTCCCACCCTATGGCATCAAGATCCATTGTTTATGCAATATTGATGCCCCTTGATTCACCTGATCTCCATGGAGACCAGTTTCTTTTTCTTCCCATATAGAGACATACTGCACACAGAGTTTCCACACTAGAAATCCAATCATTAATTTTAATGTTCATACAGACAGGTAAAAGTCATGTATCAAAATAATGCCTACTTGACAGATAGGGAAGCGATGGAAAAGTTTTTTGTTTTTAATTTTTGATTGCAGCAGCTAGAGTCATATGAGGACACCAAGAGCACACTGATGATAGGTTGCAAATAAAGTACAAAAGGGAGTAACAGAAAGGAAGGAAAAGAAAAAGCCAAGATCCCATGAGTTGTGATGGAGGCAGCACATCTATTTTGTTGGTCTCTTCAAACCCAGAACGAGGCCCACATTTTTCTATCACCTCCTATCCTTTTGGCCTTCAATGGCCCCTTAACAAATGACATTGGAGAACCCCTTCCCCCTGACCTGCAAGTGGTGCCCATAAAAGTTGCTCCTAATACCAGTGAGATACATTTATATAGATATTGTAACTCCATCTCTAGCACAGGTCATCAGATAATGTATTGCTTTAAGACTCTTCCTTGTTTAGTTGAGAGTAATCATAGACTGATTGAAATCATTGATTAGTTTTTCTGTAATGAGTCAGTAAGTAAGAGCAATCTTTAAACATAGACAAAATTACCGTGATGTATGGGATGTTGGACATGGCAAAATATCGCTTGGCCATTGAATATTCTCCAAGAAGCTCCCCAGTGTTGGCACAGAAATGCTCTGGAAAATGCAGCTTGATGAGGATCCTGGAACAACATCAAACATTCAAAGTGTCAATTTATTTACATAAGTTAGTTTTAATGTGTCTCCCATCAGCTGTTGCAGTAGGTTGGGTGTGTAAGAATGAAAATAATGAAATTTAATATCATCTACTTATTTGACATTGTGTTATTATTTACAATATAGGTAAGTCTCGATAGATATGGTATAGACATAAAGATATCCTTAACAGTTAAATAGTCTTTGCCAGGGCAAGAAATTACTAAAAAAAAATCTGTACTTATTTGACTATTGACTTTGAGATCATTTTCAAGGTGACAGTGACCTACAGCACAGCACTGCCAACAGGCTTTAGTTGATGCAGCAAGTTTCATTAAGATATCTTAAACAGTTTGGAAAAGAAATTATAAGTAGAACCAGAGATGTTGTACTAATGGAATATCTCACCTTTACTTCAAAGGAGAGCCACAATTAACATTATATTTGTTAAACAAGAGGTTTGTTGTAGTCAATGATGTCAATAAATAAAACTTGTCTAGAGAACAAGATAATATGTCTCCATCAATAAATAAAACTTGTCTAGAGAACAAGATAATATGTCTCCATCAATAAATAAAACTTGTCTAGAGAACTAGATAATATGTCTCCATCAATAAATAAAACTTGTCTAGAGAACTAGATAATATGTCTCCATCAATAAATAAAACTTGTCTAGAGAACTAGATAATATGTCTCCATCAATAAATAAAACTTGTCTAGAGAACTAGATAATATGTCTCCATCAATAAATAAAACTTGTCTAGAGAACTAGATAATATGTCTCCATCAATAAATAAAACTTGTCTAGAGAACTAGATAATATGTCTCCATCAATAAATAAAACATATTTCCATCAAGCATCACAAGATCCTTCCAATCATTAAAACCCTATCTGGATGTTTAGAAAAAGATATTTAAAGTATGAGTCAATTTGACCCCTGGTGGGTGGAGATCACATAATTCACAATGTTGGTTTATCTTTGAACAGGGAAGGTTTCTACAAAAGTGAAGTAAAATTTGGTAAGGGGTTTTTGAGAAGAAGTTGAAAATGTAAAAAAATTACAGATACATGATGCTGGACAAAGGGCATTACAATAGGTCATCATGAGACTATGTCTCAGGTGATCCTAAGTCTCAGGTGATCCTAACAAGAGTCTCAGGTGATCCGAAGTCTCAGGTGATCCTAACAAGAGTCTCAGGTGATCCTAACAAGAGGCCTAGCAGCCTTGGTAGTCACCAGAAGTAAACAATATTGAATATAAAGGTTAGAAAAAAGATTCTCATACACTTTACTAGCTTTGGGTACTTCATCTTGGTGTGAACTCCATACTTTTCTTGAAATTTCATCTTTGTTTTCATCCACAACCAACATGAAATCTAAATAAAAATAAAGAACATATATAAATACACATATGAAACTTCATATATCAATGTATATATACTTTATTCAATATTCTATAATACATAGTTTGAAGATAATTCTCATGAGTTTGATACACACTACCAACTGCTTTAGTACCTGTAATGCTGGTGATTATACACAATACCAACTGCTTTAGTACCTGTAATGTGGGCGATCATACACAATACCAACTGCTTTAGTACCTGTAATGTGGGCTATCATACACAATACCAACTGCTTTAGTACCTGTAATGTGGGCTATCATACACAATACCAACTGCTTTAGTACCTGTAATGCTGGCAATCATACACAATACCAACTGCTTTAGTACCTGTTATGCTGGCGATCATACACAATACCAACTGCTTTAGTACCTGTAATGTGGGCGATCATACACAATACCAACTGCTTTAGTACCTGTAATGTGGGCTATCATACACAATACCAACTGCTTTAGTACCTGTAATGCTGGCAATCATACACAATACCAACTGCTTTAGTACCTGTTATGCTGGCGATCATACACAATACCAACTGCTTTAGTACCTGTAATGTGGGCGATCATACACAATACCAACTGCTTTAGTACCTGTTATGTGGGCGATCATACACAATACCAACTGCTTTAGTACCTGTAATGCTGGCGATCATACACAATACCAACTGCTTTAGTACCTGTAATGTGGGCTATCATACACAATACCAACTGCTTTAGTACCTGTAATGTGGGCGATCATACACAATACCAACTGCTTTAGTACCTGTTATGTGGGCGATCATACACAATACCAACTGCTTTAGTACCTGTAATGCTGGCGATCATACACAATACCAACTGCTTTAGTACCTGTAATGTGGGCTATCATACACAATACCAACTGCTTTAGTACCTGTGATTCCACAATCAAATGGTGATCAACCACCCACAGTTTTGATGACTAAACACACAACCACCCAAACAATAATCAACCACTACTTCATCACTGATTTACTCACCAAACAAACGATAGTCAACCACTACTTCATCACTGATTTACTCACCAAACAAACGATAATCAACCACTACTTCATCACTGATTTACTCACCACCCAAATGATAATCAACCACTACTTCATCACTAATTTACTCACCAAACAAACGATAATCAACCACTACTTCATCACTGATTTACTCACCACCCAAATGATAATCAACCACTACTTCATCACTAATTTACTCACCATCCAAACGATAATCAACCACTACTTCATCACTGATTTACTCACCAAACAAACGATAATCAACCACTACTTCATCACTAATTTACTCACCATCCAAACGATAATCAACCACTACTTCATCACTGATTTACTCACCACCCAAATGATAATCAACCACTACTTCATCACTGATTTACTCACCAAACAAACGATAATCAACCACTACTTCATCACTGATTTACTCACCAAACAAACGATAATCAACCACTACTTCATCACTGATTTACTCACCAAACAAACGATAATCAACCACTACTTCATCACTGATTTACTCACCAAACAAACGATAATCAACCACTACTTCATCACTGATTTACTCACCAAACAAACGATAATCAACCACTACTTCATCACTGATTTACTCACCAAACAAACGATAATCAACCACTACTTCATCACTGATTTACTCACCAAACAAACGATAATCAACCACTACTTCATCACTGATTTACTCACCAAACAAACGATAATCAACCACTACTTCATCACTGATTTACTCACCAAACAAACGATAATCAACCACTACTTCATCACTGATTTACGATAATCTACTTCATCACAAACTCACCAAACAAACGATAATCAACCACTACTTCATCACTGATTTACTCACCAAACAAACGATAATCAACCACTACTTCATCACTGATTTACTCACCAAACAAACGATAATCAACCACTACTTCATCACTAATTTACTCACCAAACAAACGATAATCAACCACTACTTCATCACTAATTTACTCACCAAACAAACGATAATCAACCACTACTTCATCACTGATTTACTCACCAAACAAACGATAATCAACCACTACTTCATCACTGATTTACTCACCAAACAAACGATAATCAACCACTACTTCATCACTGATTTACTCACCAAACAAACGATAATCAACCACTACTTCATCACTGATTTACTCACCAAACAAACGATAATCAACCACTACTTCATCACTGATTTACTCACCACACAAATGATAATCAACCACTACTTCATCACTGATTTACTCACCAAACAAACGATAATCAACCACTACTTCATCACTAATTTACTCACCAAACAAACGATAATCAACCACTACTTCATCACTGATTTACTCACCAAACAAACGATAATCAACCACTACTTCATCACTGATTTACTCACCACACAAATGATAATCAACCACTACTTCATCACTGATTTACTCACCAAACAAACGATAATCAACCACTACTTCATCACTGATTTACTCACCAAACAAACGATAATCAACCACTACTTCATCACTGATTTACTCACCAAACAAATGATAATCAACCACTACTTCATCACTCACCAAACAAACGATTTACATCACTGATTTACTCACCACCTAATTTACTCACCAAACAAACGATAATCAACCACTACTTCATCACTGATTTACTCACCACCCAAATGATAATCAACCACTACTTCATCACTGATTTACTCACCAAACAAACGATAATCAACTACTACTTCATCACTGATTTACTCACCACCCAAATGATAATCAACCACTACTTCATCACTAATTTACTCACCATCCAAACGATAATCAACCACTACTTCATCACTGATTTACTCACCACCCAAACGATAATCAACCACTACTTCATCACTAATTTACTCACCAAACAAACGATAATCAACCACTACTTCATCACTGATTTACTCACCACACAAACGATAATCAACCACTACTTCATCACTGATTTACTCACCACCCAAATGATAATCAACCACTACTTCATCACTAATTTACTCACCATCCAAACGATAATCAACCACTACTTCATCACTGATTTACTCACCACCCAAACGATAATCAACCACTACTTCATCACTGATTTACTCACCACCCAAATGATAATCAACCACTACTTCATCACTAATTTACTCACCAAACAAACGATAATCAACCACTACTTCATCACTGATTTACTCACCAATCAAACGATAATCAGCTACTACTTCATCACTGATTTACTCACCAATCAAAAATGATTTCACTTTTATGTTGTCAACAACAGGAAGCTTCAAGAGAGAGGACAATGCTTTCTTTGCAACCTGTAAAGTCGTATCTGAAATTCAGAAAAAATATATAGAGTTTATTGCATGGTTCATAAAGTGATGTTCTGCCACTCTTCTGTATGTACATGACACTGAGAGAGTAGATTCTGGAGAATTTTACTGCATTCAAAATCATCTATATAACATGTCCCACACATGGTCAAATTGATACCGGGATTAGAACATGGCATTTTGGCAAAGATGATCCATTGCACATCACACCACATAACAATGAGCATTGTCTGGTAAAAATAATCACATTGAACTGGCATATAAATAGAACAAAAAGAAATTGCAGGACAATTTCAATAAACATGGATGTGTTGTCGTCAAATTAGCTTCAAGATGACTCAGTAAGTTTTGTGACTGCTGCAGATCTCACCACACACCATAATGCTACCATCATCAAATTTAACCCTTCATATTTCACCATGCAGTTACATTTATTGGCATAACATTCACCATGACAGGAAAAAACAAGCCAACACCCATCTGGGCAGTACAATATGAATCTTGACTTATCAGAGAAAAGTACCCGGCACTATCTTTGCCTAGGAAACCTGTACTTTGGATGGTTTCACTATCATATTTGTATCTATGAAGATAAAGGGGCATTCTCACTGCTACAAAATGAGGCTTGGTGCCACAGTAGCAGAGATGCCTCAGCACAGTATTATCACTTAATATTCTCAGACTGAAAGTCCCTTGCATTTAATTTGCATTTTTTGCAAGTGATGCAAATCCTGACCAGGCATTGCTACCTTTGTTTGTCAGTGTTTGTTGGCTATAGAGAGGAGAAATAGTACTTTTGTGGACATTCAGAGCCCTTGTCACAGCTCTTTGGGTGTTTCCAGCCGACAATAACTGCATTATCCTGTTGTGTTAAGGATAGAAAGCCTCAACATCTTTTTTTTCAATGACAAACAAATTTCAATATCAGACTATTATTGCCAAACACCTGAGGGATGACCAACAAGTCTGAGAGCACAAAATGTTGCCATGTGTATATCAGTGCACATAATAATTGCAGTATGTATTGATGTCTCAAGGACATAAGAACATGTAGTGTGATCTAGTTTATTAACCCAACCACATGGTACAAAATTGGTATCAATTCTTTATTGATATTTAAAATCATTGACATTTAATTGGAAGTTGCCTTGGTTTTGCAAGTCAGTATATTATGATGTCACAGTGGAGAATAAATAGATCTGATTTCACGATGACATTAAGAAAGCATTTACATATACATATTGTATTTAAAAACATTATTTTAATGGTACTTATCACCAATCTTAATATTAAACATGAATATATCAATTACAAATGATAGTTTTCAGTATTTACCAATAAAAGATCCAACATCCCTGAAAACTTCAACACGAATTCTTCAATATTTACCAACATTGATGTGCATCAGACAATAACAGGAAGAAATTTTGATTGATAAGGATCATAAACAACTTACAGTTTCGTTGATTTCCGCTTCTAACATTGAACATTGGAATATCAAAGGTAAACATTGATATCTCGTCTGTTGTGAGGGGTGTGGGTTGTACCATTGCTCGTCGATACCAATACAGACCTGCTTACAAAAAAATCATTGTTAAATAGAAATTCCAATTTTTGCATTGATAGTTCAAAGTAAAATATTCACACATGCACATTACTCCTCCTCTTTCTTTTGTATTTGTATTTACATATGAAATTTACAAATTTCTCTTAAGAGTAAATTGTCACCTGTCTGTCATTTTATTTTACTGATCAGCCCCAAAATCAAAAGAGCACATCTAGAGACCAAAGGAATTTAAATATGAAATCTGAAAACTATCCATCAAGTACATCCTTGCTTTTCTATCAAACCCCAAATAGTCTCTAAGCACAACTACCAACTGAGACAAACCTATATATGAAATGTGAAATTTGAGAGCTCCTGCATAAATTAGAAAGGGGGAGGGGCATTTTATACCTGGCATGGTCTTATTGTCAGGACTGATGTATAAATAACAGTAAGGTATTACAGAACCATGAAATACGAAAGTTGTTAATATTTCCATTGAACAACATTGGAAATGTGCAAGAGCATGCCTCTAAGTCAGATTTAGTGGCTAATAAGAAATATTATTAGAAATAGCTCTTACATTTAATGTCACTTCGATCCATTGACCAGGACTTTCGTCGAGCATGACCTCTAAGCAGAGACGAACTCCTGCCCAGCCACAAGAATGAACACATCAACTTGTAAACATCAGCATCTTGAAACTTGTCAAACTCCTTGGGTATGTAGTGGTCTGCTGCTTGGAAAAATGCCATTTGCTTCCTTGGCTCATATCCAAAGAAACCAAAAGATTTCAAAATTAAGTAAAGATCTGTAGCAGAATAACTTTCCCCACATTTCAGAAAATGATCGGAGGCTGCATCCATGATGACAGGACTGAGATACCGAATGGTGCATAGGTACTCAAGGGTTTGGCCCAATATTTCATTTTTGACTTGTGGCCCTTTACTAAAGATGTATTTTTCAAGGGCATGGATTAAGTCAGCATTGTGTTGCTGTCTCTCTTGGAAATAGGTAAGAACATTCAGAAGATCTGATGTCTTTATCTCGTGTATGTGTAGCAGTGTCCATTTGGCAATACTGAATGCTAGAGTATCATTCCTACATTTCAGACGTGACAAATTAGCAGAGATCTTGCCGATACCCCTACTTCCAAACTGCCATCCAAACTTTACTAACTGACTCTGGATTATTTTCAACAGCTGGTCAGTGATATCCATGTTGGCCGGCACATGATCAAGATATTTCAGTAGGTCCTCCAAATCTAATTCAGTATATCTACTGGTGATATGTAGCCAGATGTCTTGTAGTAAGTCAGTGTGCTTTGTGTTCTGTAGTATCTCGGTAAGGCTGAATACTGCATATTTACCAAGTGTGCCATCTTCCATTTTCTTCTGTATAAGATTTAGAGTGAATTCTTTGATTTCTGATTCCGGCTCTTTCTCTTCAAGAAACTGTTTGGCTAATTCAACTAAATTTTCATCACTCAGTGTTTCAATGTTTCGCTGTGCAATTCCAAATAGTTGCTGTATGATGACTTTGCTCACAAAGGACTTGCCAGGTGTCTTCTGCTTGTCCCGTCGCTTCCTATCTAAGACTTTCAGTTTAATGAGGGTGAGAGCTGCTGCGTGACTGCTTAGTATATCTGGCTGTATATCCAGCAAATGCAACACTTCGCTACTAGATTCACAATCCTGAAGTCTTTCCATATATATCATTTCTTCTTCTGACAATTGTGGAATTAGCTTGTCATAATTTTCATCTTGTATTATCTTGTCACCTACATGTCGCATTATGATTGGAACATCATAAATGCCATCAGCCCTCTCAGCTATTGCTGTAGAAATGGAGTAGAGTTTCTTTCTGTTTCTTTCTTTGAAAGTTGTTGAAGAGCATTTCTGACACCTAGCAACTGAAGCTGCTACTTGGCCAAGATTTCTCTCCAACAGCCTCCTGCGGCATAATGTAACTAGTTGTTTCACTGAAGTCTGCAGCAAAGATGAAGAAATTGACACCGCCATCTTTTTTTTAAAAAAAATTCCTTTTAAGACAATTTCTTGTATGTTTTCCTCAGGGAAGTTATTTGTTGTTTATCTGAAAAAAAAACCCAGACTTTTGGTGAATAAAAAGTATACATGTACTAATTGTATCCTTTATATTGATATAACAGTAAATATAGCAGGGGAAATATTATATTGATACATGTACATACAACACATATTGCAGTTGTTTTACATAAAGAATATATAATAAAGCATTGCATATGATACAAATCCCTTTGTGGTTCATCCTTGACTTGAGCCCAATAAAACAAGGAGTCACAAAGCATGGCATCATGCCTTGCACCCAGAAACCAAAATATGATATTATATCCAGTATAACAATTTGTGACATCACTCAATTATGTACGGCTACTATCACCTTAAAACCTAATACAGTGAAAGCGCTAGTGCAAAATGTAATGATTTTTTTTTTGTCAATTAAATTGCTTTGCATTTCCTCAACTTAAACATTATATATGTATGTATATATCAACCTTATTGCAACCCTTTATTCAATATCTTCAATATCTCCAAGGAAGCATCTCAATCTCCTATAGCTTCTACCCTTAGAGAGGTCACTGGCAAAATATCTGTAGTAGGAAGCAGTAATGAAAAACACACTCCCACCACTAGGGTTTGAACTAGTGACCCTTCAGTCTCTTGCTGAACACTCTACTGCTTGACTAAAGGGAAATTCCCAGTAGCTGAGGCTAGTTAGGCAATCTATACTTTCAACTTCTACATATATTTCCTTTGATAAGACCGTACAGTTTCTACAACAGTAACTGTTACATCAAATTTCAAGTAGACAGCACTATCAATCAAAACATTTTTTACCTTGCTGAATATTAATGTTACTTTTAATAATATCTTGCACAAGTTACTGTTTAAATGACTTCGGATACTTCTGGCTACAAATCCACATTGGCATATAATTGACTAGTTAGCATATTACAGGAAAGCAAGGCCTATCATTCATAGTCTATTTTTATTCACTTGACAGATAACAACAAAACATCGACATCCGAGGATGGATTGATTGGTTTTATCACCATATCTGGGATGTGTAATAAGTATTAAGACCGTTTCGAAATATCTAACGGTCCGGGACCGATGTCAAGACTATTTAATAGGCAAGTTTGCGAATTATACGCAATGTCAGTATGCGGAATAAGGTTATGTCTATTACTGCTCCTCTGATTATATCCCTGTTTATATGACCTATTGATAAAACGTAACATTGATTCGTCAGACTTTGTGTGGTTGTGAGAAATGGTGGTTTCGGTCCTTCTGCAATTACTTACGTAAACTTTCGCAATAAAAATTCAGCTAGTGTGTTAGAGGCAAAATTGTGATAATCCTATAAGGTAACATAACAATTTTTACTGTCTTACCATGACGCACATGTCTTCTTTCCTTACGAAACGCATCCAAAAATAATGTGTGATAGTCTTTAGAATTATAAGAAAATACAATTTGTATATTGTCTTGTATTCACATGAATGTGTCAAAAATATATTAAGCTTGCGAAAAACAATTGATCATAACTTTAATTCAATAATGTTTTGAATATAGGAAGAATTATGTTCTGACCAATATTTGAATTAAAACTTGAATATAAAAATTATTTTAAAGACTATCACAGGGAACGTCAACAATTCACGAGGCCCATGCCATGCTGGGCCCCGTTATGAAATAGCTTATGAAACATAATTCTTTTGGAATTAAAAAAGGACCCAAAAGGTAGATATGTATTCGTAAGAGGAACTCATTGTATAAGTAAAGAGTCACGACCTTTGTTATATCCATCATTTATTAAACCAAAGAAAATTAGTGTTTACCGATAGAAGGGAGGTAACTCTTAGACAATTCATTACTGATGAAAAAACAACACAATGTTAACTTGTCAACATAATCCACACACTCCAAACCAAATTCAATAAAACCAAGGGAAATATGAACGATAGCAAAAAAACACTCGGAGACTCATGTGAATGTATTGGGAGAATAAGACCAGATATCCGGGAAGGGTTAGCGTCTTGGTCAATCCAAGGAAGTAAGTAATGCAATTTTATCAAATGAGAACAAGGTATACAACAACGGAATCAACAGGCAAATTTACCGGCCACCATCAAACACTCACAGTTTTATGTCGCACAAAGGAAATAAACATTTCTTAATAAGATCACTATGAGGACAGTAAAACTTCCCTTTAATTTTCATCAACTTTATCTTTTGAAACCACTAGTAACAAGTTACTCAGTCATTTGACATATTGCACGAAAACCATTGATCGAATCAACTGCGACATGTACGCATACTTTGGAGATGTAGGATTGTTGCTATCCAGTAATAGAGAATTCATAACAGGGAAATTGAAACGACCGAGCTTATTATACAGCTTACGATGGAAAGCTGTCCACGTTGGTTTCGTTGTAGAAAAAGATCGCAAGCGTCTCAGTAATGTAGAAGTGTCTATAGTGACTTGATCTCCGATTCTGGTGAGTTTATACTGATGCAAATACTTAATAGTTTCAAGTCACGATAAACAATAAAGTTGGACATGTGATTAAACGGTTTGATACACAATATTAGCAGACATAATATCTGTGTATCCACAGGTGTGTGTTTGGTGGAAGTGAAGTGAAGGCAAGCTTATTAAAGGGTTTGGAAAATGAAAGTCGTTTTCACTAAATACGTACAACGTACAAAGCAATGTGTGTTCTTGGCTTTATTTATGTCGTTGTACAGGCGAATTCATGTTTGTGTTCAGGTGCACGTGAGAGTACAATACTTTCTATTTACTTCTCTATAAATTAGTCTATTTTATATGATTCACAGACGTTATTGACACGCGAGTCCCCGATTAAGGTTTGACCGCAGAATGACATCTACATATGCCGTGTTAATTACTTTCCGTGGTGGTAATACAATTAGCACAAACGTATGTATTGCTTTGAGATCTGATGATAACAAACAGTTGACTTTAAATCCTCATTTCATGTGTTGCGTGTGTACCGTCTTAATTAGAGCACTAGAAACGGCGGTGACACCAAAGGAGAAATTCCTTGTTCTAAGGAAGGTTTAGAGAGGAGATGACATTTAGATAGCGTGTGAAATGATTTTATCTAGAAAAGTTTAAGTATAAGGTTGGATTTCCTTCGCTCTATGTTATACCATATGGTCTACTTTAGTTATAATGAAACATTATTGAGCTGTTTTGACTTCATAGTCGCGGGTATTCACAGCCAAAAGAGCTATTTAAACTGTGAAATGCCACATACATTGTTCGCTTGGTCGTAGCGACAATTTATTGAAACGACTGAAATCTGAAAAAAAGTTCACAGAGCTGTTATGAGCCACTCAATACCTATATTTCATTGTCAAACAAATTTTTGCTCGCGTTTACAGGTTTTTTGCTAGCTTTTCATTAAAAATATTTTGTGTGCGTTCATATCCGGATAGAAAACTAAAGCACGTGTTGGTACATGGATTTAAATCGTCGTTATTCGAACAATTAAAACAGAACTAGTATCGTTTTAAGTGTTTGTATTTTGTACTAAATTTATACAGATATATGCTACCACCACTACTACTACTGCCACTACTACTACTACTACTACTACTACTACTACTACCACCACCACCACTACTACTACTACTACTACTACTACTACCACCACCACCACCACTACTACTACATTACTAGTACTACTACTACTACTACCACCACCACCACCACCACAACCACTAGCACCGCCATAACAATTACTACCACCACCACCACCGCCGCTGCCCCGCCTCCAACACCATCACCACCACCAACCACCTTATTTGTTCACATTGTACAATGGCTTTATCTAATACGGGAGTTTCATACCGGTATTCTATTGCTTGTTTAAAGATATATTTCAAATGACTATGGGTTACACTGTGATACAGACATTCATTGATAGTACTGCATAAATCTAAGCTAAGGTTTTTAAATTAATTTTTCGCGTGTTTGCTACATACAAGTACAAGTCAATAATTACAGATGAGCCGTAATGACACAATGTTGGACGAATTGCTGACTTCATCTGTCTCCTAATCCAACGGAAGTATTGACTAATTATAGTCATAAAGGGAAATGGAAAAAATCATCCGAAGTCCTGAAAATAGGACTGAAAAGCCTTCTTTTTCCTATGTGTCTTGGAACACCAATACACATTCTGTTTCCTATGTGTCTTGGAAAACCACTACACCTTCTGTTTCCTATGTGTCTTGGAACACCAATACACATTCTGTTTCCTATGTACCTTGGAATACCACTAAACCTTCTGTTTCCTATGTTTCTTGGAACACCACTACACCTTCTGTTTCCTATGTACCTTTGAACACCAATAAACCTTCTGTTTCCTATGTGTCTTGGAACACCACTACACATTCTGTTTCCTATGTGTCTTGGAACACCAACACACATTCTGTTTCCTATGTACCTTGGAATACCACTAAACCTTCTGTTTCCTATGTTTCTTGGAACACCACTACACCTTCTGTTTCCTATGTGTCTTGGAACACCACTAAACCTTTTGTTTCCTGTTTGTCTTGGAACACCACTACACCTTCTGTTGTTTCCTATGTGTCTTGGGACACCACTACACCTTCTGTTTCCTGTTTGTTTTGGAACATCACTACACCTTCTATTTCCTATGTGTCCTGGAACACCACTACACCTTCTGTTTCCTGTTTGTCTTGGATCATCACTACATCTTCTGTTTCCTATGTGTCTTGGAACACCAAAACACCTTCTGATTCCTTTGTGTCTTGGAACATCACTACACCTTCTGTTTCCTATGTGTCTTGGAACACCACTACACCTTCTGTTTCCTTTGTGTCTTGGAACACCAATACACCTTCTGTTTCCTATGTACCTTGGAATATCACTACACCTTCTTTTTCCTATGTACCTTGGAACACCACATCCCCTTCTGTTTCCTATGTGTCTTGGAACACCACTACACATTCTGTTTCCTATGTGTCTTGGAACACCACTACACATTCTGTTTCCTGTTTGTCTTGGAACACCACTACACATTCTGTTTCCTATGTACCTTGGACCACCACTACACCTTCTGTTTCCTATGTACCTTGGAACACCACTACACATTCTATTTCCTGTTTGTCTTGGAACACCACTACACATTCTGTTTCCTATGTACCTTGGAACACCACTACACATTCTGTTTCCTATGTACCTTGGAACACCACTACACCTTCTGTTTCCTATGTGTCTTGGAACACCAATACACATTCTGTTTCCTTTGTGTCTTGGAACACCAATACACTTTCTGTTTCCTTTGTGTCTTGGAACACCAATACACCTTCTGTTTCCTATGTGTCTTTGAACATCACTTCACCTTCTGTTTCCTGTTTGTCTTGGAACACCACTACACCTTCTGTTTCCTATGTGTCTTTGAACATCACTTCACCTTCTGTTTCCTATGTGTCTTGGAACACCACTACACCTTCTGTTTCCTTTGTGTCGTGAAACATCACTACACCTTCTGTTTCCTATGTGTTTTGGAACACCACTACACATTCTGTTTCCTGTTTGTCTTGGAACACCACTACACATTCTGTTTCCTATGTACCATGGAACACCACTTCACATTCTGTTTCCTATGTACCTTGGAACACCACTACACCTTCTGTTTCCTATGTGTCTTGGAACACCAATACACATTCTGTTTCCTATGTGTCTTGGAACACCAATTCACCTTCTGTTTCCTATGTACCTTGGAACACCACTACACCTTCTGTTTCCTATGTGTCTTGGAACACCACTACACCTTCTGTTTCCTTTGTGTCTTGGAACACCAATACACCTTCTGTTTCCTATGTACCTTGGAACACCACTACACATTCTGTTTCCTTTGTGTCTTGGAACACCAATACACCTTCTGTTTCCTGTTTCTCTTGGAACATCACGTCACCTTCTGTTTCCTATGTGTCTTGGAACACTACTACACATTCTGTTTCCTATGTGTCTTGGAACATCACGTCACCTTCTGTTTCCTATGTGTCTTGGAACACCACTACACCTTCTGTTTCCTTTGTGTCTTGAAACATCACTACACCTTCTGTTTCCTATGTGTCTTGGAACACCAATACACCTTCTGTTTCCTTTGTGTCTTGGAACACCAATACACTTTCTGTTTCCTTTGTGTCTTGGAACACCAATACACCTTCTGTTTCCTATGTGTCTTTGAACATCACTTCACCTTCTGTTTCCTGTTTGTCTTGGAACACCAATACACCTTCTGTTTCCTATGTGTCTTTGAACATCACTTCACCTTCTGTTTCCTATGTGTCTTGGAACACCAATACACCTTCTGTTTCCTTTGTGTCTTGAAACATCACTACACCTTCTGATTCCTATGTGTTTTGGAACACCACTACACCTTCTGTTTCCTTTGTGTCTTGGAACATCACTACACATTCTGTTTCCTATGCACATTGGAACACCACTATACCTTCTGTCTCCTGTTTGTCTTGGAACACCACTACACATTCTGTTTCCTATTTGTCTTGGAACACCACTACACATTCTGTTTCCTGTTTGTCTTGGAACACCACTACACATTCTGTTTCCTATGTACCTTGGACCACCACTACACGTTCTGTTTCCTATGTACCTTGGAACACCACTACACATTCTGTTTCCTGTTTGTCTTGGAACACCACTACACATTCTGTTTCCTATGTACCTTGGAACACCACTACACCTTCTGTTTCCTTTGTGTCTTGGAACACCAATACACGTTCTGTTTCCTATGTGTCTTGGAACACCAATACACCTTCTGTTTCTTATGTACCTTGGAACACCAATTCACCTTCTGTTTCCTATGTACCTTGGAACACCACTACACATTCTGTTTCCTATGTACCTTGGAACACCACTACACCTTCTGTTTCCTATGTGTCTTGGAACACCAATACACATTCTGTTTCCTATGTACCTTGGATTACCAATTCACCTTCTGTTTCCCATGAACCTTGGAACACAACTACACCTTCTGTTTCCTTTGTGTCTTGGAACACCAATACACGTTCTGTTTCCTATGTGTCTTGGAACACCAATACACCTTCTGTTTCCTATGTACCTTGGAACACCAATACACATTCTGTTTCCTATGTACCTTGGAACACCACTACACCTTCTGTTTCCTTAGTGTCTTGGAACACCACTACACATTCTGTTTCCTATGTACCTTGGAACACCACTACACATTCTGTTTCCTATGTACCTTGGAACACCACTACACCTTCTGTTTCCTATGTGTCTTGGAACACCAATACACATTCTGTTTCCTATGTACCTTGGAACACCAATTCACCTTCTGTTTCCCATGTACCTTGGAACACAACTACACCTTCTGTTTCCTTTGTGTCTTGGAACACCAATACACGTTCTGTTTCCTATGTACCTTGGAACACCAATACACCTTCTGTTTCCTATGTACCTTGGAACACCACTACACCTTCTGTTTCCTTTGTGTCTTGGAACACCAATACACGTTCTGTTTCCTATGTGTCTTGGAATACCAATACACCTTCTGTTTCCTATGTACCTTGGAACACCAATTCACCTTCTATTTCCTATGTACCTTGGAACACCACTACACCTTCTGTTTCCTATGTGTCTTGGAACACCACTACACCTTCTGTTTCCTTTGTGTCTTGGAACACCAATACACCTTCTGTTTCTTGTGTTTTGGATGTATTTCCATCAATGGACCTTCTGTCTTCTATGTGTATTTTGGCAGTCCACTGGAATCCATGACCACGCGGGCATGTGTTGTGTGTGGTTATTGTAAATGGAGACATTCGTATGTCGAATGTGACAGAATGTATCTAAGATGATTTATTGACTTCATTTGATGTAAATTAAGGCGATAAAAGGCCAAATACAATATGATTTGTTGGAAATGTTTTATTGTTTACCTCAACAATGGTAGATTTATGCTATTTTGTCCCTAATTTCAATTGTTTGATATCTGCTTTTCCCTTGATGTTCAATGTTTTGTCCCTGATTTCCATTGTTTTGACCCAGGTTCCATCGTTTTATCCCTGATTTCCATTGTTTTGACCCAGGTTCCATTGTTTTGTACCCTGAGTTCCAATGATTTATCCCCCGATTTCCACTGTTTGGACCCAGAGATCCACTGTTTTGTTCCCTGATTTCCACCGTTTTGTCCCATGATTTCTACTATTTGGTCCCATGACTTCCATGACTTTGTCCTCCCCCCACACCCGCCGAGCTCCATTGAATTGTCCCCTGATTGACACTGTTTTGTCTCCCCGAGTTCCATTGGTTTGTCCCTTGATTTTCGCTTTTTTGTCACCTTGCATCCGTGTTCTGTAAATCGGTTGTTCGACATATAGTTTATACTCTTACTGCGTATGTTTGATACCAAGTTTTAAAAAATTTATTCAATGCTTCGTCTTGTTTTCAAACGTCTCCTCGAGTGTGGTGAACCAGATACCAGGAACATCAGAAGATGTCAGTAGAGGAGTACAAAATATCTGTCTTTAATCGCCCAGATTCGTATGCCACAACGGATCTACATTATTTTGTGGTTAACGATAAATTAGGATCGCCAAACGAATTACGAGCATTGGTCTACCCACTTATCTTGACGCGCAGGCTGGTCAAATCGATAAAACCCTGGCCTGTAATAGAACCGAACAGCACTTCCGGTTTCCCTTTCGAGTACGGAATAAAAAATCATGCAATTGGCGTTTTCAAAAAGGTTATAGGTTACATCAAAGCTTCATGTTCAACATGATTTATGACCGGCGCTTCGCGAGTAATTGATAAACGTCAACAAAGTACATCAATCGATTGGTCCCAGGCTTTAGGCCGAGACGAAGATCAACACTTGCTTACAATCGATCATCTCCGGACAAAATCGCCCGTCTCCGAGCAGAAATTAGACGGCTTGGAAAGCCCAATAAAATTGAGTGTGTCACGACCGTCTCCATTGCGTGTTTCAAAATAAATGGAATGTTATAAGTCGGTGTCCATAATGTACGATTGGCATGTGAAAATACTAGTGAAAGATCGTGAAACATTTGTGTCCAGTTGATTTCTTTATCAAGTTCCCTCTTTCTTTTTTTGATAAACAAAATCTCATGAGTAACGATAAAATGGCATTGCCAATAGCAACATGATTATGATGGTTCGAGGAAACTGCATATAGAATCATTATTTGGTTACGTGTTCATTAAGTTGCAATGTATTTAAGAATATCGTTCTCTTGAAGTCGAAAAAATATTTCTCAACAGAGAGAGAGAGAGAGAGAGAGAGAGAGAGAGAGAGAGAGAGAGAGAGAGAGAGAGGGGGGGGGGGGAGGAGGGGTAGAAACAAAATAGCCTGACTTATCAGGAGAGATGTGATGTGTTAACCCTCACAAATCGTGCTATATTTCCTTGATATTTCTGTCCAATGTTACAACCGACAACAAACAGAGGAGATACAGTAGATTATATAATTAGTGCTTTCAGCGAAGTATTTGATGGGCTATCTTCAGCTATAGACGGTGTTAATTAGAACAGAATGACCATCATAGGCAGTATATAGACCGAGAACAAATTGACCGATCATGGTCAATGATATCGGGGATTCTTCCAAAATCATATACTAGTACAATGATTCAGAGCCTAGTGTATAGATTGGGTTATATATATACAAAGCTTACACGCCAAGATATACACAAATCAGAAAAGAAGGTAGATCCTCTATGACAACCCTGTTGAATTAGTTTGTCATATCACGCAAATTATCTTATACTGCGGGTTAGGTAAGTGAAAAGGATACACAGAAATCACATTAAGTCGATATATCACATCTAGGCAGGGAGACTAGAGATACAAAACATTGCTTATCTTAGATTGCTATTCAGGATAATTATAACTTGGGTTTAAAGTTATCAGATCTATTGAAAATTACATTGGATTTTCCTCAGTCGCCTCCCAGGTTTCAAAAATAAGGCACTTATCATCACTGGAAAAAGCTGTATGATGCAGTTTAAATAATTCTTCTGCTTCACTGTATCTAACTTTAAATTTGTTTTTGAATGTGCTTTTCGCTTGTGTTTCATTTATACAATTTTGAAACAGCATAGAGCGAAACAAAAATAAATATAACAGTCATTCACATGACATGACGAATAGCTATATTTACAAAAGGATAATGCTTTAACGGGAAAAATACTTATATTCAAACTTGCCGATATTCTTCATGTTAGT